AGGATAGGTTGGAGACTGGACGAAAGTTCTTTAATTCTGCTGGATCCAGGGAAGGCTTCTTGAGGAGGGGCCTTACAACCACTTCCTTTAATGGTTGTGGGAAGGCCCCTTCCCTCAAGGACGTGTTAACTAAAGCTTGGAGCCAGCCTCGTGTCACCTCCCTGCTGGCCAAAACCAGCCAGGAGGGGCACTGGTCCAACAAACAAGTGGAGGAACTCATCGCTCCTACAACCTTGTTCACTTCCTCAGGAGTCACAGGCTCAAACTCATCCCACACAATGGGACTAAGACCTGTCCCCGTCATCTCGGTCGGAATTGCCCAATCAGAGTCCAGGTTCATCCGAATCTGAGTGACTTTATCCGACAGAAACTGCACAAACTCCTCAGCTCTACCCTGCAAGGGCTCCTCCACTCCCCCTACATTAAGGAGGGAGTGAGTCACCCTAAATAGGGCAGCTGGGCGTGAATCAGTGGATGCAATAAGTGCGGAAAAATGCGAGCATTTTGCCACCCGTATCACCACTAAATAAGTCCTAATAAAGGCTCTTAAGAGTGTTCGGTCAGATTCGGAGTTACTGGTCCTCCAGCGTTGCTCTAGACGTCTCTTCTGGCACTTCATCTCCCGGAGCTCCTTGGTAAACCAGGGAGGTTTCCTGGATCCACCGCCATGGAGAGGTCGCAAAGGCGCAATCCGGTCCAGTGCCCCAGATGCTGCCCTATTCCAGGCAGCCACCAGGGACTCAGCTGGACTGTGGACAAGGGAGTCAGGTATCTCCCCAAGTTCCTTTGGAACCCTTCCGGGTCCATTAGGCGCCTGGGGCGGAACCACTTAATTGGCTCCGCCTCCCTGCAATGGAGGAGTAGCGCCCTGAAGTCTAACCTCAGCAGGAAATGATCTGACTATGACAAGGGAGAAGCATCTATACCCCTTAATTCCAGATCATATCTCCACTGCCCCAAGAGAAACATCAGGTCAAGTGTGTGTCCCCCCCTATGAGTCGGACCCTGAACTACTTGGGTCAGGTCTATGGTTGTCATGGAAGCCATGAACTCCTGAGCCGCATCTGAGGATTCGCCAAGTGATGGCAAATTGAAGTCCCCCAGTACCATAAGCCTGGGGAACTCCACCGCCAGCCTGGCTACTGCCTCTAGCAGCACAGGCAGGGCTGTCATAACGCAGCTGGGAGGCAGGAACGTCAACAACAAGCCCAACTGAGCCCATGAGTCCAACCTCAAGAGGAGAGACTCACACCCAACAATCTCAGAGGCAGGGATCCTGTGAGGGCAAAGACTCTTCCGGACAATAGCTGCCACTCCTCCACCCCTTCCCTGGAGTCGCGGCTGATGCAATATCTGGAACCCGTCTGGGCACATCTCTGAGAGTGGCACACCCCCCTCCTGGCCCAGCCAGGTCTCAGTTATGCATGCCAGGTCAGCTCCCTCCTCCAGGATTAAGTCCCGAATGAGGGGGGCCTTGTTAACAACAGACCTGGCATTAAACAGCAGCAGTCTGAGGCCAAGGCCCTGACATCCCAAGTCACCAGGTATACAAGGCGAGCCCGGTGAACCAGAACCAGAGGGGCTGGAACAAGTAATCGCTTTGAGACAGTGAGCCCTAGTTCCTCGAGAGCGGCCTACCCCTCGGCTCCTGCCATATCTACCTCTCCTGGCCATAACCACAATACTCCGGCTCCCCAACACCCCAGAGATCCCCTCCCCCACCTCAATGGCCCCCTTCCTCCCTGGCAGGCGAGGCACCCCACTCATACCGAGCCGGGGGTCATATCTGAGCCCCCATCTGCTTCTGTCTGCACATTCAGCAGAGGGGGCTCCATACCCTGCTCCTGACTCCCTCATTCTCCCTGAATTCAGCCACTCCAAACCCATTCCTTCCATCAAATCCATCCCAACACCCTCACACATACACACCCGCACACCCTCCCCAAGATAAAATTAATGTATTGAGCAAAAAGATATCAGGTGAGTTAAAAGAGACTCCACCGATGGCTTGAGAGCAGCCACATATTGAGGTATCCCAGCAAACAGCGGGTGCCCTCCAGCCGTTGAACCTTGGTCCCGTCCAGTCCTTTCCAAAAGCCGACATTGTTGATATTGTTGATTAACCACTGGTACTACTGTCCAAGACTCAACTCTATATTTTTCATATGATCTGCTGTAGGAAGCCGTTTTCACTATTATGTGACTAAGTCCTAATCCCTAGGGGTTCAATTGTAACCATTCCTCAGTTAGACTCAGCTAATGCACACTCAGTGCCCTTTGGCCTCATAGGGGCATTTCCATTGTTAATTTAACTGCATTGAGAGTTTTGTCTTTTAAACTGCCATCACCAGAACATCTTGCAATTGTGGTTATAAAATAAAGGAATTTCACTATCTACCGTGTTTCCCTGAAAATAAGACCCTGTTTTATATTTTTTTGAACTCTGAAATAAGCGCTTGGCCTTATTGCCATGCGCTCAAAAGCCCAATTGGGCTTATTATCAGGAGATGTTTTATTTTGGGGAAAACAGGGTATCAACAACTATTTGTTCTGAGACCCAGTGTTCTATTTGATCCCATTTATAAATACTGGTTGCAAGGAAATGACAGCAGAAAAAGGTATGTCTCATCTTTCAGGGGGTTTTCTTAGCACTCAGACGCAATTAGTTGGCTATGACTTGAGTCGTGGCTTGATCTAGCAGGGAGCCATTTTCAAGCTCTAACTCCTGCCACCTGTTTCTATAGCCAATAGACGATTTAAAACTGAAAATGTCCAATATTAACTTTCACAGTTTGGCAATCAGCCAAAGAATCAGAATGGGAAAAGAAGATTTAATTACCACTTCACCCATCCAGATGGTCTTCAATTCAAGAGCAATTATGAAAGAAGAAATACAGGCCCTATTTACATGAATATCCATTTCTAGAGCATTCATGTAAAAATGTAAAAAATATAATAAGCTAAGGATCCTACAGGTCCAATAAAATCTTTTCACTTCCTAGTAATGCTGCTTCAGAAAAGAAAACTCGGTCTTTAGCATACTGAACTTCTTTAAATAGTTCCTAGTTCAGCTAATAATTAAAAAAAAAACAAGATGGGATCCAGTGGTGAAATGTAAAATTTGTTACTACCAGTTCTGTGGGCGGGGCTTGTGGGAGGTAATGTGACTGGGTGGGCGTGGCCAACTTTTTTTTTTTACTTTTAAAAGCATTTTTTCTACAACCTTAAGAGGTTGCAGAAAAAAATGCTTTTAAAAGCCTCTGACGATCCCAGCTGAGCTGCACGATCATCAGAGGCTTTTTTTTACTTTTAAAAGCATTTTTTCAGCTGAAGAGGTTGTAGAAAAAATGCTTTTAAAAGTAAAAAAACCAAGCCTCTGATGATCACGTGGCTCAGCTGGGCATGGAGGGGGGCAGGGATTTTTGCTACTGGTTCTCTGAACCACTCGCCACCATCTCTACCGGATCGGGCGATCCGGTCCGAACCGGGAGCATTTCACCCTGATGTGATCCCCAAAATGACTGAAATGAAAATAACCTTTAGAAAAGTAGTTATCAAAAAAAAAAAAAAAAAAAAGCTGGAGATAATTGAATCATCAGATTTCTAGTTATGAAGCATATATTCTGGTTGTGCTATTTGTATCACACCAATTGGATCATATAATTTAGACACATCTCCAGAATGATACATTTAATAAAAGAAATAGATGGAAGCAACAAAAATAGTCGTGAACAAAAATTACATCTGAACATATCAACATGTGTACAGGCCTGCCCTTCATTGCCCTCACATTCCTGATCCAGTTCTGGATTTTACCAGTGTGGGATATTAAAGGAGCAGGAGCCCAGAAGCAACTTTTCGTGGTTATAAAGAGATCTTGAGAATGTGTAATTTGAAGGAGGGAGCCAAGCTTTTTTGCTTGCCCAATTCTCTTTAAAAACTTCAACCATAAAAAGTTGCCACCCAACCAATTCTGCATTTGATTTTTTGAGATCCTTCCATCTTTGGCTGCTGGCTGGGCTGGTAGCTAATATCATACTTCATCCCTGACAATGAACTAGAATCTGCCATCTTCTTTAAGGATAGCAGGCTACCTTATGAACTGCAGGGCAAGCTTCCTAACACAATCTGATATTTCACTGGTTGCCTCCCAGGATTTGCTTCCTGAGAAGGCTTCCTCATTTTGCCCAAGGGTAGGGCCATCTCTGCTTCTAGCACACCTTGAACCAAAGCTTTATCTCCTTTGCCAAACAATGCTTCACAAGGAGCTCTCTTTATGTCCTTATCTTTCAGCAAATGGGAATGGGATAAGTGGAGGCCAGCTTTTTTTATTGGATGATCATGTCCATAGACTTCACACATTGGTGGAGAGATATATGTAAACAGAAAACCCCTTGCTCAGATTTATTAAAGCTTCTATACAACCGTACTCATCTGTTCTTAGAACATACAGCATTGTGTCCATGTGGATTTAATTAATGGGATGCTTTCCTCCAACATTTTATAGTGTAGCTATTATATTGCTGTTTAGGAAGGAGTGCGGATGAAAATAAGTGTGGTAATTCCATGTACATTCACAGTATTTGGAGGTGTCTGTTTTCCCTCGAGAGACACTTTCAAGCTTCTTTTTTCCTATTGTCAATGTAGATTTCTGGTTCTTCTGAGATCTTCACGTATGCAGAAGACAGTTCATATAGAAAGGTTACTTATATACCACTTAAATTCACGTGGAACCTGACTCTCATACATGATGTTATGGAGATTGGCATCTTAAAAATGTAAAACCTACCTTCATCCTATCTGCTGTGGCTTCTATAAATATTCTTCACTTACCTTTCAACCCATAGAAAAATAAGATTACTCCTCTTAATCTTGAAAGGCCCAGGCATCATTACAAAGAACAGTCCTTGTAGCATTGCTGACTGCACCTACAGCCATTTACCTGTGGTTATTAATAAACTTGCAAGATGGTTAGTTAAAGTGTAGGAAAACAAAGTCACCTGTAATGCAACGGTGGTGTTCTTTGCAGGGTATTTTCCCACCAGTCCTTGTTCTTTCCGTTTCTTGAATTTCCTAAAGTAGTCCTGTATCAGAAAGGTGGCATAGAACTTCCCCACGGTTACCTCATCATCTAAATGAACAGACCAGAGAGATGTCTCCCACCTCAGCGCATTTCATTAAAAGCCAATATATACTCTATCCAAGTGAGAAAAAAATGTGATTGGTGCTCTGTGCATTAGGGTTCTGGCTTATAACAAGGCAACCTGAATCTAGCATAAAGCAATGTTTAACAGGCAAACTCGGCTAAGCAGTAGAAGCAGATAAGTGAACTATGTCTTATGAAAGGAAAATAAATTATTTTATTAGAATTCAAAGAGGAAGCAGTTCTTTTAAGAGGCTGATGGACCCGAAATACTTTCATCCATTTAAATCAAATTGCTACAATAAGAGCATCCTGGAAAATTCTCAGGTTTATTTGGACTTGGTCCTTTTAAAGGAGGGATGTGCAAGTTTTTAGGCAAGAGCTGCATGTTGGAGACGGTAAAATCTAAATTTAATTAAACAGCTAAATGGACAATTTCCCCTCCATCTCAAAAAAAATTGTAATTTCACTATCAAAATTTTATGGGGCTGCATGTAGCTTTGACATTATTGATAAAAGGAACTTATTTTTATAACAAAATCAAATATGTCCAGTTATTGTTATTCACCTAACTTTCTAAACTATTAAGTTGCTATGTAGGTTTTCTCTGAGTGAAAATACTCAGCCAATTATAGTCATATAAAATAAAGTGGCAGGTATCAGAAATCAGGCTTTGGAGCAAATGCTACTATCTTAAATTAATGTCCTTACACTGGAAGCTTTACTTCATGGGGTCTTTAGGAAGATTTTACAATGGAATACAAAAGAATACAATTTTGGCAGTTGTTAGTTTCCAATAACTGGATATGTTGAATAGCATTATGACCATTAAAAGATATTACTCATGAGTGATCATTTCAGGAACAAGTTAATTTCTACGCTTGGCTCACAGTGAGATTCCCATTGCTCTACTCTTATTCCTCACTGACAAGCTCCAGATCTCTGCATGGCCTTCCACACTTTGGTGATGATTTGAAGGTACAAAAGGGACAGTTTTTCTGAAAACTGTGAAGAGTTTCTTTGAATTACTGGTATTATAATCAAATATTTTGTTTTGCTACCATATCTGATTCTGATTTCAGAAAAGAGATTTTTTTAAAAAAATCATCCATGTTACTTTTTACATTATGGACAATTACAAAGCATTTCATTGCAAGATGGTCTGAAAAGCCTTCCTGAAATAATGTTACTATTCTGGTTAGATTAACATTACTACTTATAGAGCAAGCCCATATTTGATAACATATTTTATATTATGCTCCGTTAGAGGAGTTAGAAGAACAACATTTAAGATTTAAAGTCGCTTGGTTGGGAGTCCAGTCTGTTTCATGCTGTCTCTTAAATAGCATTGCTGAGCCTGATCTTATCATGTGACAAAATATCATTTGAAAAGGTCCTCATCAACCTCCATTTGTGACAATGGAAGCTTAGAAGTCCTAGCAATTCAAAGTCAGGTCATTTTTTTTCTTTAAATTGTCATGGTTATTTAACTATATTTGAAAAGGATGAGAGCACCTAATGTGTAATCTACCTTAGAAACTATTTTCTTAAAATGAATCTGATTGAGATTATACCTGAATTAACTTCTCCTTTGAACCATTAAAATGCCCACAGAATAGTTGCACTGAATGTTCCCCTGTCCATATAAACAGAATCCTTCAGAATTTAGTTCAGTAGAAAATCATGCAATAGTGACATGCATTTTCAACCTACAGAAAAAGGAATCCGTGAAATGATAAGAATTTGATTCTTTGATTAGGCCAACTGCCTGTATGTTCTATCCTGATTGGTGATGCCTATATTAATCTAATATGTCGAAGATGACAGCAACTGACAAAGTACCTTAAGGACTATCTTTGAATAAAAGATGGTGCTAAAACTTGGATGTCATAAAAGTAATAAAAGAAAAGAAAACTGCACACAGATCTGATATTGGTAGTGGTTAAGGTACCAGGTTAGAAAGCAGGAGCCTATGAATTTAAGTCCCACCTTAGCCATGAAAGTGAATTTGGGCCAGTCATTCTATCTCAGCCCAACCCACCTGACAGGGTTGTTCTTGTGGGGAAAATAGAAAGAAGGCATGTTGGTTATCTTTGCTGCTTTGAGTTATTTTTTGTAAAAATAATAAAGGTGAGATACAAATAAAAATATTTATTAAGATAATTGTGAGTTCATGAAAAAAAAACTTCTTTTCAAAAAGTTCTCAAAATATTAATTTTAATAAGGGAATGCTATTTAAAATGGATTTCAGAGGACTAAGAAATAAACTAAATGGGACAAAATACTTTGTACGCTATAAAAGACAAACATGCCTTAAGATGACCTATCAGAATATACAAATGTTTTTTTCTGGTGATGTATAAGCATGTTTGAAAGTGGATAGTCACAAATCCTTATTTCCACATTCACCTGCCTTTGTTTGCAATTTCTTGCTTGTAGTAGAACAGCAGAATATGCAAACATGGACCCTTTCTTAGTTTTTTAATTTGGGCCCAGTATACATTGTTTGGTACGTGAAGGGGAACAGCTAGGAAGAAGTGGGTGTAGAAGAAACAGAGCTGATATGTACATGAAAAAATATTAGAAGGGAATGAATTTCAACAAAACAAGTATGGAAGAAAAAAGAGAATATTAGATAGGTGTCAGTGTGCTTGGAAAAGAGTTAAGAATAGGGGCATTAAAAGAAACCTTGGAATAAAACAGACGAATGGCTTCTAGTGGGGTTTTCTTCCTATTATCGTTCATTTTGAACTACATTTTTTGCAACGTAACTTGTCACATGATATTCCAATCACTTTTAGTCTCTTTTGAGGTATTAATAAATTAAGAAAATTAGTAGATTTAATGCTAATAGTATCTAAAAATATCTAATACCTTCTTGTACTAGTATTTCTTATTCCATAACTCTGCTTATTATTGAGAAATGGTGAAATGACTGTAACATTTAGTCTGTTTAGGTCTTGTCTGAGAGAGGTAATGCATATTGAAACTAATGAAATAATGTGACCTAATTTAACATAGATTAAAAACTTTGGTCTGTCCAATATATGTCCTATATTCATCTATTTTCATTCTAAGCCATTGGTCTGATCTGAAATATAAACCAGTATAATTCACAAAGTTTTCTTCAGATTATGATGTTGCTTAAACTGAAGCTATATAATCTTGAACTTACTTCAGGTTCATGAGAATCTGCACGCTTGCTTTTCTATAGGTTTGTTTTTATTTCATATTCCCAGATTATTATGACGTCCTTTCCTTTTTCATGATCCTTATACTCTGATTTCACTGTGCTTGTGAATTTAGTGTTGCATGAAAATTTGGCAGTCTTCTGTTTCCTACATTTTAATGACAACTTTTGTGCCTTTGCTTTAGGCAGGTTTGGTCACTCATCTTGTCACAATACATTGATATCATTTTGTACACAGTGATGCAATTGTGCTGAACTCTCTAACTCCACTTTAAAGAAAGCCTACATTGTGTGTTAGGTCTGAATCATATACTCAGTAAAAGGTTCTTCATGCTCAGTTTAGACAGCCATGGCTTGCTATTCTGAAGCATGTCTCTGTATTTCAATAAAAAGAGGGGAATGAAGCTGGCCAGAGGCAACACTGATTCCATGCCACCACCCTAAAACAGAATTGCTTCAGAATATTCTGAAAAGACTGATAGTTGAAAGGAATAGAGGCTGCAGAAAAAGCTCAAGCACATCGTTACAACAAAAGCAAACTCATCTAGGCCATGCAAGAAATCAGCTGTGCGGCTAGAAAAAAGCAGAAGGGAACATAGAAATGTCATTTTAAATGTGCAGTATCTCTTCTTTGGACAGTTGGCATTGCTTGGCATTGTCCCATCCCACCCTGAATCTGAGTTGTCAGTTGCCAGGGGCTTCTTCTGGGCTGGCTGAAAAGTAGGACAGCTAAACATGCTCTTTCTTTTTGTCTCTCTCTCTCTCTCTCCTGAAATACTAAGGAGGTCATCTTTGGAGGGAGGACAGAATTCAGTACCTTCAGCAGTTAAGTAATTTTTAAAAACCTAAACCAGAGTAATCTTGAAGGGTGCAATAATACTAAAGGAGTACAGCAAAGTATAAACATTTTAGAAGATGAACTCCAATAGCTGGGTCTCTTCAATGTCTGACAGCAGCCTTAGATGTTTTCTAATTATGCAAGAGATCCTGCACTTTTAAAATGAAAACAGCAAATCAGAACATCACCCGCAGTCAACACTTTATCACTGTATCTATCAACAGGTATATAGACATCCATATATAGTTAATATGTACATTTGCATTTAACCTAGATGCATAATTTCATTTAAATCAATCATAACTTTCCTAGTTACATAGTTCTAGCTAATATACTAACATTAGCGGATTGTTTACTCTGTATTTCTTAATAAAATTATTTACTCTTGATTAACTATTTTCTTAAATTTTGGAAGCAATTTAGTTTACCTAATCTTTTTGTGTTGAAGGAGAATAAATGAAAGAATGGCTCACAAATTTTAGACTAAATTCCAAATTTAAATGAATTAGTGAAGATAATAAAGGCTTATTATTATTCTGAAGCCTATAAATTGAAAGGTTTATGTATAAAGGAAGTTTAAATTCTTTATTTCAGAATGCTATGTGTTTTACTGTAAATTAGTATCTAAAACTTTACTATCTTGTCACTTAGTTAACATTAGCATACTGTTATAGTATTTTTCTGTGTTTTGTATTTAAAATGCAGAAGCTATAGGAAATCATGTTACTAACCACCAGCAGGAGGAACAACTTGGTCCAGGAGCTTCATACTAGTTTTCTTCCAAATTTTCTTTATGACTGCCCTGAGTTCTTCATTTGCTTGCTCTAAATTTCCTGAGGAGAATGAGAAGGAAGGAAGAAAGGAAGAAAGGAAGGAATTACATATATTAATATAAACTAAACTAAAGAGCAAAATGTCAGTATCTCTACACATGGTTGGGATCTCTACAGCTAAGCCAAAGTTAAATGAAGTTTCCACAAAAGGTCAATAGCTTTGACACTAGTTTACTTTGCTTTTGCTTTGGGACAACATAACATAGTCAAATATGACACAGATTCAAGAGAGGGTCTATCACTTCCAGTAGCTTTGTGATGTTCTGCTCCCACAGCAAGTCTGGCCGATTGGATTAATAGATTTTGAAGTGGTTCCTATCCGGCTTGGACTGCTTCAGGAACACCTCTACATTGCTGCTGTTTTTATGGCAAGAGAAACAAACACAGTGGCCACCAGGGTACATTTAAGAAGCTCACAAGCCTGAATTGGAGGGTGATAGCTGGAGTATGACAGCTGGAGGGTTGATTTCACAGATCCTTCATCAATCAGCACAGAAGAAATACTGGTTAAGATCCAGAAGGAAATTGACAGACACCAACATTAGTACTGCTGGTAGCCATTTCAACGAACAAGTAGCATAAACAAGGAAGACTTTACATGAAATGCCATCATTGTTTAAACAGATTATATCTTAAAAATATAGAGTAGTTCAAAAAGGTCATCTGATGTATTGGTCGTATGCAAAATGTTATCTCCTGATAGTAAATGTCAAAGCAGCTGTCAAAAGGAAAACAATGGTTATGAATAATTGGTCCTCTGGTCTGCAGATACCAAATTGAAGCAAATGTGCAAAATAAAGAAATTACTGATCCCGATGAATTTCATATTTGATAAAACATATTTTCTAATTGCATATTACTTTGTCAACAATAACATGTTCCTTTCTATTATATACAATTTTTTGAAGGCCAGAGATTTTGAGAAATCAAGACCAGTGTATATAAGTTCAAAGTGCAACTGATTCCCACCACCTATCCTATTTTTCAGTAAAGGAAACTACTGCCCCACAAAAAACTGACATTTTGGGTACAAACATAACTACAATACTTTTACAGAGAACCATACATGCAACCCAAAGGTGCTTTTTTCCAGAGGCAACTGGACTTTCTAGGTTTTTTTTTTTTGAAGATGTTTCGCTTCTCACCCAGGAAGCTTCTTCAGCTCTGACTGGATAGTGGGGAATGGAAGGATTTATATTTCTTGCAGACAGCTGGTCATTTGAAGTTTATATTAATACTGTGTTTCCCCAAAAATAAGACCCTCTCTTATATTTTTTTGAACCCTGAAATAAGCGCTTGGCCTTATTGCCATGTGCTCAAAAGCCCAATTGCGCTTATTATCAGGGGATGTCTTATTTTGGGGGAAACAGAGTAACAGCTGAAGAAGCTTCTTGGATGAGAAGTGAATGTCTTCAAAGAAAAACCAGAAAGTCCAGTTGCCTCTTGAAAAAAGCACCTTTGGGACAACCATGGCCTGAATGACTGAGAATCTCCATAGACATACATGCAACCTTTTACATTTACAAGGTCTCCAGGGTGGCCACCACATATATCAAAGATCGGTACTAATTATTTGATAAGAAGAAATAAAGAATAATTAAAATGTTTATTGTAGGCTCCTACCTTCAGTTTTGATTTTCAAGGCTGTTCTTACTAAAGCAAATAGAGTAGCATTAAACATAACTGTTCCATCACTGTTTAGGGGCATGTTCATGGCTACCAACCTCTGCAGATATTTAAAAAAGAAATAGACACAAAGAAGGTTCAGTATGCGTTTATCAGTTTATCATAAAGTGTATGCCCAGGAAATTAATCTAAAAATGCATAGGAAGACATATCATAGTCTAGTGGTTATTATTATTCATAGATGTCATGAGCTGAATACTAAAGGATATCTTACAAAATAGAGGAAATTCCGCCTGACACGAGAGTTCTATAAGTGAGTGTTTTATAATTAACACATAAAATAATTCATGCCAAACATACTTTATACATTAATGGAAGAAGATAAATATTTGGGATGAGCATACCATAATTATTATAAAGTTTCATTTCTTTTTATTTGATAGCTTCATATTTATTTAGTTCTCTCATAAAATCAGTGGGAAATATCTATAGCTGCAGGAAGAATAAGTAATTTCTGTGGATAATGATTCTAGATATCTTTGAAATTTCCATTGTTCTGAAATGAAACTTGTTTTTTTTTAAAAAAATAACTATAAGTATTTTATTTACCAAAGAAAATAAGATGATCCTTTCCATCATGCTCTTCTCATGGGTAATTTAAAGGCATTTGCTAATATCAATTAATAATAGACTGCTAGTTTCATGCTATGATTCAACTGCTTACTACTTCTTTAGTAGTAAGTGTACTACTTACACTTAACTACCTGTAAATGTACACTTTACTACTTGTAAATGTTAAGCTATATCTAGGCATTACCACAACACTGCTGATCTGCTGAAGATAGGATGGTGTTTGTATATACAACTTCAGTATAAACTTGGAAACGTCCTCACAACCAGAAGCGATTGTGCTTTTCCTGCTTATATTCTATGTTGATAGACAACCGTTTTTGATCAGAGGACCACAGCTGGCCTTTTAGTTCTAGTTGGAAGTTACATGAGTCACATGAGCCAGTGATCTCAGGAGCAAAATCCATGTCATGTATTTTTTTTAAACTAAGAACCATCAATCTTCTTGCTTTAATTAGGGGGAGCTTTTGATGTATATGGGACTTCTTTACCTCCTTTCATAACTGAGAATAAGCAATTTATCTTGACTATTGAATGAATTCTCCAAAACTTCCTTTTGCTACCAGCCAAATACTACTCCATATCAATGACCCAGAACAAAGGAAAGAGGTGGCATTACTTTTGTAATAATATCCAACAGAGCCTAGTGAAAAAGCTAATAATTAACACTGGAGAATTGGGTACAATGAATATACAGGTATCTCTTCTCTAGAAAATTGCATTACTTATAAAGGTTTTCAAAGAATCAATGACCTCAGCCTACCTTGCAGGCTACTCTGTGAGGACATAACTTCCCAAAACCAAGGGGAGGCTGGATGCGTCGCAATAAAGTAACAACATCAAGGTGTTTTATTCTCCCTCTATAAAAAAGATTTAAAAAAATTAAATAGCTCCAGCTGACTTAAATTAGGCATTGTTTTGTTTTGTTTTTTAAACTCCTTTGATGGGGATATATTGTAGTCATGAGTGTAACTTACTTTGCTTCAGGATCATATTCTGACCATATTCTTTTAAATTCATCCAGATGATGTGGACCAAGGATAGACCAATCACGTGTCAGATAATCGAAGTTGTCCATGATGACAGCCACAAAAAGATTGATAATCTTAAAAACAAGACATAGAAGACAATATTACCATATAGCTCAGGTAGCAATCAGAAAGAACACTTCGAAAGTTTTGTTTACTTATTAAATTAGATTTGGACTCTGAAATAAATATATATATTTTTGAAAAAGAATTTTGGTGCCTGTGAATCAGTCTTGATTCCTGGTGACTGCCTGGACAAGTCCTTGTAGTTTTCTTGGCAAGATTTTAGAAGTAGTTTGCCATTGTCTGCTTCCTAGGGCTAAGAGAGAGCAATTGGCTAAAGGTCATCCAGCTGATTTATGCCTGTGGCAGGACTAGAATTTAGAGTCATGGTTTCTATCCCGAAGCCCTAACCACTACAGCAAACTGCCTCTCCATATTTATATTATGCCTTAGACAGATATAAACGCTTGCTAAAAATGAGGTCTATAAATTTGCCTGTAAATTTAATTGCCTGCATTTATCTGGCTGTAAACACCCTTGCTTCAGAGTAGAATAAATACAGGATTATGTTTTTTGCTCCTTTTGGCACAATGTTCCATGGGAAAGCCTTTTCTTTTATGTACACCTTCCATTCTTTAGATGGAAAGTGGAAGGATTATTAGAGCAAAGGTTGGACAGATTCCTATAAGTGGAAGCTAATCTTAAAATTGGTCCCATACCATTTATGGCTTTGAAGATTAGAGTTAATGTAAGATATTCATAAATATATTAGCATGCCAGCTTCTGTGAAATTGGAAATGTTATACCAACTGTGTATATGTGACAAACATTTTATAATAGAAACTGCAACAACAGTGACAGAAAAAAGTAGATTATTAAAAGAAAAGGAAATGCTATGTTGAGCAGGTATAATATTACTGAACACATTCATGTCAAGGCAAGAAATATGTTCTCATTAGTCAGAATGCTATTAGAAGAAAATAGCATATTAGAGAAAAACAATAGAAATATGTCCCTCAAATACTGGAATACTGCTGTCATGTTACCCCTAGTCATTTTTTTCTCTAGACTATCCATACCCAAATCCTACAACAGTTCTTTATATGTTTTAGTCTCCAGGCCTTTAATCATCTTAGTTGCTCTTCTCTGCACTTTTCCCAAAATCTCAACATCTTTCTTGTAATGTGGTGACCAAACCTGGATGCAGTATTCCAGGTGTGGTCTTACTAAGGCTTTATAAGGTGGTACTAAAATTTACCGTGATTTTCATTCAAGATAACATGCTTACATTGTACTGATGGATAATAATTGAATCAACTCAGTTTTTGTTTTAATCTGATATTAATACTTCAGGCATACAGTCTTTGAAAGTGGAGTACCACATAAGTAACAGCAATGAGGAAAGGAAACTATAAACTAATCTAAACTAAACTAAATAAACTAAACATAACATAACATAACATAACATACGCTTTGTGAGTTAATATAATTAATCTTTAGTACATTTTCCTGTTCAAATTTTAGCCATTCAGAAATTTTACTTTCTAGACTCACCAAAAAAGCACATAACATATAGAAACTGATGAAATAAATAATAGCAAAATTGCTCCCACATGTGTATTCTTCTCCAGGGCTATAATCAGACTCTGGATCACAACGTTTTCCTGGCATGCAAGCTAGCATGATGTCTTGCCAAGCCTCTCCTGTAGCACACCTTTAATATGGAACAAAGGAAGATAAAATAAAGCAAACAATATTGTTTCTTCTAGCATAACATTGCTATTATTGTTTCCTAATAATGGTCCTAAACAATGAATGAGGGCACAGTAAAGAGATGTCATGCTATGTTGTATATTTAAAAATATATTAAATCTTTATGTCCTGTTCCGATTAAAACCTTGAAAGTATAAATACATTGATTTTATCAGTATTAATGTACTATGCTCGTGGTTTTTAATAATTATTCTCAATGGTTGCCTTATGATGTAGTTTAATTGGAGTTCTATATGTTTTTGTATTCCTAGGCTGCTTGTTCATGTAATGTCTAGAGCCCACATGGATTTAGGGGTTAAATGAATAAGCAGCCAGGAAATACAAAAATATGCAGAACTCCAATTGTACTATATCATTAGGCAACCATTGAGAATGGCACAATTAACGCAGGAGGTATCCTAGTTCTCCTTCCCTCTTATACTTCAGAGAGTCAGGGTGGAGCCAGGTTGGGTCTCTTCCTAATCTTTCCTTGTTTCACAAGCTTGAAAACATGTTTTGCACATGTTGTAGCCACCTCTGAACAGTTTCTCCAAGATCATCTCTGTTGCTCCCACTAAATTTGTTCCATCCCTTCTATTAAATCATGCCATCTTGTTAGACCTAGGACCAACTGAGCCTTCCTGTTATGGCACCTATCCTATGAAGCAGACTCCCCTATGCATCCTGCTCGGTTTCCACCCTCTTGGCCTTCCAGAAGACTGTGAAGTCTTCTTGATTTTTTTCTCCCAGATATTGAGGAAAAAATATAACTTTCCAGGCAGCTAGATGAGCCTAATGTATGTGTGGTTTGTTGAGTCTGATACTCTAGTATATATAGCACTTGACGTCTATTGTGTTATGTTTTAATTGTTTTTTACTTGATCTGTAGCAGCGATGAAATGCTTACCTTCGCTACTGGTTTGGAAATGTGAATGCACGCCTCTTCTGCGCATGCGCAGAGCCTTCTGCACATGCACAGAGGGTCAAAAACAGGACATAATGATGTCCCAATGGTTGACCAGAGCCTCCCGTCGCCGGCCCTACCGGTTGACGCGAACCGGATATAACTGGCCGGATTTCACCGCTGATCTGTAGATGTTTTATTCTATTGCTTTTGTTGATTGTTGTCAGTCGCCCAAAATTCATACACAAGACAGATAACCATATTAAAAATTTTTTTTGACAAAACCAATTTTAAGAGAGTATTAGCTACAATCTTCCTTTGTATAGGCATCTGGGACAAACCGTGTTGTTGAAAAAAAATGATGAAACGTGCACCCTGGCCTTTAATATTTGTATCCCAACATTGAGTGCAGGTAATGTAAATTACATGGTTTTGTTGTGTTGTCAAAATACAGTTTTCATCATTTGCTTTCCTGTGCCACTAAAGTCAATTCCACACAATCTACATACCTTGGTATCTGTGTAGACAAACTCTAACCAAATTTTCTTAGTCTGAAGTTTAGTCTGCTGCTTAACTAGCTTATACTATATATTTTCTAATTGTATGGTGCTACTTCTGCACTTTCTGGTCCCTGGATGGGGCTTTCCTCTCTGCTTTTCCTATGAATGTCCCAGCTTTTAATTTATTGTTGATGTTCCTTGCAACCCTATTAGACAGGACAGGGATACAGCAGCTACTGAATGTATAATTTTAACACAGACTTATCTAACTGTATCATCATGTTATTTGGGGCAGTAAGGGAGGATAGGTGGTCAGTACATGATTAGGCTACCTAAATTGCGCCTTTTAGCTCTCATATGTAATTTCTACTCATATTCAATTACATATTCTCACATTGATCTTTGGCAATCGACATTTTAATTGGAAGTCACTGCAGGGTATCTCCTGCAGTCCTTTCTCTTTTTCTGTTAACCACATAACAGCTACTGATAACCACATAAAACGTATCTACTCATGAAGTGGCTCTTTCTGAGTTATGAAAAGTATCGAACGGGACAACTGTTTCAGGCTGTTTACAACGTGGTAGAAGTTAAAGTGAATATTTTCATTTCTTTTTAAGTAAAACATTGAAGGTCTGAAAAATTGTAAAAATCATTAAAAATCACCAAATGATAGAGAACAAGCAAGAATCTGGCATTTCTTGCATTCTAGCTTCTTCACTGTCATTTTTAATTCATTGGCAGACTAAATATATGTGGAATACTCAGAAGTTCCAGCAAAAGTACCATAATGATTCACCTGATGTCCCATCTTAGATTAAGGTACGTTAAATATTTTACTTGTTTATGACCTATATTAGATGTACTGTTAAAGGAACAGAAGATTAATTTCTTAGGTTAATAAAGTGTTTTTCACAACCTACCACAAAACCATTCCACACATTTTTGAACTCTTTTTTTTCTTCCTAGAGTTTTCCTACAAGTTCAGAGTACTCTTTTTCCAGGTCAACCAAGGATTGATCCATTTGGTTGCAACAGGAATTGACCAACTGGTTTATTGCCCTAGTCTGATGTTATGGGCTGAGAGAGAAAGTGACTGGCCCAAAATCACCTAGCCGGTTTTCATGCCTAAAGTGGGACTAGAACACACAGTCTCCTGGTTCCTAACCTAGTGCCTTAACTACTAGACCAAACCGGATCCTTATGAACTCTATGCCAGTAATAACAAACAAATTCTACCGGAAGAGAAGAAGCACCGCTTGGGGGAAGGTTTGAAAGTTGTTGTTCCTGTTAATTTGATTGCCATCTTTCAGAGCAACTTTGCCAAATACCTGAAAGAGAAGTAACAGCTTACCCATGGTAACCTTTTGCAATTTTGATAAGCCTAAACAGTTGATTTTCTGCAGTATTGAGCCAGATACTTATAATATGAAACGTTTCCTATTTTTGAACCCTAATATTAATAATGCTAATATTACTACTACTACCAATAATAATAATAATTTACTGGCACATTGATCCTTAGCCATAATTGTCAGGTTTTAAAACACAGATTGGTAGTAAACCTCAGCTCTTCAGGTGTTTAATCCCTTATTTCAGAGTATTTTATCTAAGAAAAGACTTCTAGATATGAATCAGTTGAATGAAACTCCATTACAGAGAAAAATGAAGGTATATACACATAGATTGTCCTCTGTGATATAAAGAAGTCAATGCCTTTATATAGGTCTGTGTTCCAGTCAAAACTGTATACCTTTTCTTCTCATCTTTCTTAGTTAACTGATGCTTGGGCAGTTTAAACACATTTATGTAATTCTCTAAGATCCAAAACACTGTTTGCCACCTTGCCATATTTGGGCCTTGCATCATTTCCATCTCTATTATCTGCTCCCCTTCTGTGTCACCCATTTCCTCCTTCTGGTTGTAGGTGGCTGGAGGGTCTTTGCCTGTATTCCAGTTTAAACTGTAGATGAGCCAATCAGGGAATAGTTTAAGGTGTTATACTCTGCTTCTCTAATATTGCTCCTCCAGATGCTGAATTTGAGCGCTATAGGGCTGGCTTTGTTTCTTTCATTTTCTGTCAACCAGTTGGCTTATTAGCAAGCACCAAAACATTGAACTTTAATTGTTTAATTTAAAATTGTTAACTTTAATTGCTGCTACCTTGTAAATGAATAGTTGACCCATACATTTCAGGTTTTTGAAAATTAATTATTCAATTGATGAACACATGGAGTAGTCACCAGACTACTGTGCACACCAACTGGTGGAGGCTTTTCACTGGATAGGGTATTTCCTTTGGGCTGGAATTTCAATCTTAATATGGGATTTTTCATGTTAACAACATATAGATAGCAGCACAACACAGACCCATTCTGGTGCATAGAATCAGGCTCATTAGGTAGAACAGACCATAAAATCAGTTTCACCCAATAACTACTTCTGTTGAAATTGACTAATAAAAGGATTATGAAACTCTGATTGGGCTGTATCTTCTTCTCCTTATAATTTAGTGAATTAGGAAGGCGCCTGCCTGAGCCAATTTTAAATATTATTTGGACATTCTAAACTTAAATCTTTGGCCAGGTGCCTGCACATCTTTATCAAGGGTTATATTTCTTACTTTCTACATTGGTGGGCATGCACTGTAGATGCAGCAAGATTTAGAATGGCATGATTTTCTGATGGGAATGTAATGGAGCCAAACAACTGTTTAGTTGTGGCATATACTGTGAAGAAATATCCCTAAAAATGGTTGGTGGAGCATCTTTGTGCTATGACAAATGGGCCCAGAGCAAGACTGAGTGAAAGAAAGTAGTACAATTGCAAGAAGTAGGAAAGGAAACTGAAAGAAACTGGAGAAAAAGTAATGGAAAATAAAACAATGAGCAGAAATTTTCAACCCACCAAGCAGCCTTTGGGGACTTACCGTATTTCTTGGAGTATATGACACACTTTTTCCCCCTAAAAGAGGTTGAAAATTTGGGTGCATCTTATACACCGAATGTAGCCCCACCAACTTGCCGGCCTCCATCCTTTGACCTCTGCCTCCCAGCAATTTACCTCCTTGCAGAAAGCAGCAAACTGCAAACAGCCCGTTTCAGCTTCAGGACAGCCTGATTAGCACAAGCAGTTGATTGTCTGTTGGATCGGACTCCCAACTCTCAGCTGTTTCAGGCTGCAGGAATTTGCCATTGCCTATTGCTGCGAGGGCAATCAGGCAAATTGCTGGGAGGCAGATTTTTTTTTAATTGCGCTAATCAAGCTGTGCTGAAAACGAAACTAAAGCAGACTGTTTGCTGTGCTGGGAGGCAGAGTTATTGTGAGTGTTTTATGAATCTTATTTTCTTCTTTGTGTCCTTTTGTTGTAAAATTTCTGTCTAGAATCAACAATTAGCTGGAATTTAAAAAGCAGTTCACTAACTTAATTAAAATGTTACCTAAAGGAAAACAAAGAGAGGGGGGAAAAAGCTTTATATCTAACAGATTGTGTGCTGAATAACTTACTGATCCTGATTACAATACCAATCTATGCAAAGAAAAAAACTTAAAACAGTTCCAAACTGGTAAAATTTCATAGTATTTCCCATATCCACACACTAGCGTATATCTTGTTTTCCTCCCCAAAAAAGGTAGGTGCATCTTATAGTTGGAGCATCTTATACTCTGAAAAATATGATACTTAGAGTTTTTATACATTCTCATTGCTTTGTTTTCCCCAACCACCAAACTAAAAATTGCCAAATATTTCAGCACTCCGTTAAGGAGCAGCTAATTTAGCACTTCAAAATGTTTATTATATTTATCAGCAACTTTTCTAACTCTGTAATAGATTGTATTTAAAGAAAGATCCTATTTATTTAGTTGTGTTGTTTTCAATCCTAATTCCTAATATGTATTTTTTCTGTTGCACTGCTACCATGCTATGGTTAATGATCACTAACTATGTCATTGGTTTATCTATGACTATGTCATTTGCCATGTTATTGCCTCTTTGCAAGCTTTTAAGGGGTTGCAATATACAAACTTCATTTCCCATTTGTGAATGAATTAAATAGCATTGACCCCAGTTCAGTCCAGGGATTTAAAAAATATATCCTTTAAGTAAGTTTTAATGAAAGTGTTGGCAGCAAATTAGCACATTCTCTACATACAGTAGGTATTCTAACATAGATTGGCAAGAGACTGTCAATATCCCATCCCTTAATAACTGGCTTACATCATATACTTCCTCATCAGGAAAAAAAAATGTTTTTATTACCTGCATTCCAATAACCGCATAGATGAAAAACAACATAGCTATCAGAAGGGCAACATATGGCAGAGCCTAAAATGAAAAGAAGTTTGAAAATAATAACTTGCATCTATTTTTGAAGCTATTATGCATGGACTATACATTTTTCTATTTTTAATTTCTACTCATCAGAAATAAATAGACAAGGATTGGCAGGGAAAGCTCTACAGTTATTTGAAATGCTATCCACACATGGAAGTATGTTGTAATCACTTGCACTAATATGTTGACTTCAATGTTGCTTGCTGTTTCAGGGTGGTGACTCAACATAAAGCTGAGTCTTATTTTATTTTATTTTAAATGTTATTTTAAAATAACGTATACAGGTAATCCTTGACTTACAATAGTCCATTTAGTGACCATTCATAGTTACAATGGCATTGAAAAAAGTGACTTATGACTGTTTTTCACAGTTACAACCTTTGCAGCATCCCCATGATCATGTGATTAAAATTCAGGTACTTGACAACTGGTTCATATTTATAACCTTTGCTGTGTCCCAGGATCCCAGGGTAACCTAACTTTGCTTGTTAGAAGTTTTGCAAACTTCTAACAAGCAAAGTCAATTTGCTTAACAACTGTGTTGCTAACTTAACTGCAGTGATTCACTAAACAGCTGTGGCAAGAAACATCATAAAATGGGGCAAAACCCCCTTAACAAATTCTCACTTAACAACACAAATTTTAGGCTGAATTGTGGTTGTAAATCAAGAACTATCTGTATAGGATTAGACCTTATGATTAATAAATTCTTTTTAAACTAGTATTCCAAAATTACTAATAATTTTAATTAGTAATTTCCATCCTGTTGAACAATTAAGAAATACGATGGCATATTTCTGAATGAAGAATTAGCATGGTTGGAGTAACAGCAACAGTTACGAACCAGGTTATTATCCTCGGTCTGTAATCATGGGCACACAGGAAATATGCCTCACCAATTCTTGTGAAAATATTTAATTAGAACTGCAAAGAATTGGGCACAATTTAAGAGCTATGCGGATTATTATATTATTCAGATCTATACACATAATCAGATCTTTGTTGGAATAGGGCCTACGGAACTGTCTTCATCCTATCACATCAGCCCACCCCACCCAATCAGGCAGGGAGGGTGTGTTACCGATCCCATCATTTAAAGAATTCTTATTAGTGGGTTCTAGGAAGAGAGCTCTTGCTCCCACCCTGTAGAATATTATTCTGCAAAGGTCAGACTGACCCCCACTTTCTTGGCATGCCAAACAGGAGTTAAGACATGGCTCTGCAGCCTCACATGGTGAGCCCAGGGAAATATGCAGTCATGGGGCCAGTCAGTCCCCTGGAAGCCCTCCCTTCGCCTTTTAATTAATTTTAATCTCTTGTCTCCTCTTAAATTTTTAAAAAATGTTTTAACTTTCATATATATTGTTTTATATTTTAACATATTATTGTATATCACCAGTCCCTCTTTGAGGGAGCTGGGCAGCACGTAAATGTAAAAAATAACTAAAAATAAATAAAATAATGTAAATATATATTCCAATCAATATGATGCAAGTAAGATATACATGTATATGTATGCATACTCATGCACACGTACACACAAAACACACACATACAAATATATACACACAAGAGAGACACAGATATTGAACATCCTGATAATACACATCACCATTGTTTATGCCAGGGGTTGGCAACCTTAAACACTCAAAGAGCCACAAAGGTCCTAACTGGAAGCCCCCCATTCAATTCTGGACCTGACCGGAAGTCCAGTTCCCCCACCATACAGTCTCCTCCTAGCACAGCGTCCCTTTTCCTCTACCTGTCCTAACCGAAAGCCCTATCAATTGTGGAGCCGACCGGCAATAGGGAGCTGCAGGAGAGGGATGAAAGAACCACATGCGGCTCCAGAGCCGCGGGTTGCTGACCCCTAGTTTATACTGTATTTCACTCTGAAACACCGTGCAATACCTAATACATTGCATTTTGACTCGAAAAAGCAATTCTTTTGAATGTTATGCATACCTGAAATGACTTAATAAATGTCCACAATAAAGTTCGGATTCCTTCTCCCCTGCTGAGGAGCTTCACTAATCGCATAACTCGAAACAGACGGAAAAATGTGATGGAGATTCTAGCACTGTCTTCACTGTTCTGTAGGATATTATACAAAAATCAAACCATGTTAAAAGCAGAATACAGAACAATTCAGGAAAAAAGAAAAACAATAACAAATGCAAAGGTGAAAGACGTAAGGTTGGAATATGTGTCTCTGAGTCCTTTTCCATTTTATAAGTATGACTATGAGGTGACAGGAAAAAATGACATGCTGGTACACAAAATCCGTATAAATGCTTCACTCATCACATGCATTAACATGCTTTCCACTTTGTTTATAGGGTCAAGTTGAATTTGCCTGTAGTACGGTTTGATAGGTACACTGACAACAAAATCAATCACTGCATACATTTTTTTAGGACAAATATAAAAAAACCAGTGGAGGAAAGAATAATAAAAAGAATAAACTTGAAGTAGAGGTACAATTACTGGGGTTAGTTTGCTATCTTACCCCAGATTCATCAGTTGTGACAGTTTCACTTGGCTTTGGCTTTAAAAAATTAAGAACATTATGTATTAAAATCAAAGTAAAGATGCTGAAAAATAATTCTACTTGACGATACTGTGAAGAGGGGAAAAAAGAATTCAAATTAAAGTTTCCTAATATGATCCTGATTAAGAAAAAAAATCCTTTTCACCTATGCCTTCATTAGTCATTTACGTTACTGACAGGGCTGTGCAAAATGTGATGTTCCACTGTAGTAAAATACACTTTGTTATTATTAAATTATCTGATCATGGTTGACTATCATGATAGGTCTCCCTCTAAATCATCTTTCTCCCAAATGATGTCTTCCACATCTGTTGGGATCACAGCTCCCCAATTTCTTACCACATTTGTGTAATTTTCAGAGTTCCAATGCATCTGGAAACCATCAGGTAGGGAAAAGTTCTATTGATCCACTAGTCTCCAATTTGTGGGTAGTTATCCTAACCAAGTTGGGAGCTGATGGTATAGAAGTAACACTATCACAATTTTTTTAAGGTGAGAAGTTTTAAAGAGAGGAATAGAGAAAGTGAAATAGAAAAGAATGGTGCCTCTCTATATAAATTATTATCCTTTTTACTATAAAACTCGAGGGTATTTGAAACTTGTTATTTTGTATTTGATATTTGAACTCTAATACTGTTGTTTTGGTTATCATAATGCTTCATAACAGAATAGGATTTGACAAAGGGCTATTAAGTTATTCACTGACTGTGAATATTTCATAGAATGGTGAACTTACAAGTAGGGATATGGTCTAAGATGAATACTTGGCATTCTGTCTGAACAAAACAACACTGTGTTGGTAACTTTAAAGGCACATCTGAATTAGATGGATTTATTTATTTATTTATTCAATTTATATGCCACCCCTCTCCGAAGACCCAGGGCGGATGATAATTCATGATTTATAAAAAATTATGCTTCAGTTTTCATCATTATTCTGATTTTCTCATAGTACAGAGTTCTAAATGCTTATCAGCTTCAGATAAGTCCCTGTTTTACAGGGTTGGTCTTCCAGGTGCGCTTCAAGGTGTTGGTGACCACCTTTAAAGTGCTCCATGGCTTAGGGCCGGGGTATTTACGAGACCGCCTTCTGCCGCCAATAGCCTCCCACCGGCCAGTTCGCTCACACAGAGAGGGCCTCCTCAGGGTGCCGTCGGCCAGACAATGTCAGCTGGTGACCCCCAGGGGGAGAGCCTTCTCTGTGGCGGCACCTGCCCTCTGGAACGATCTACCCCCAAAGATACGCACGATACCAGACCTCCGGACTTTTCGTCAGGCCCTGAAAACACATCTATTTCATCTAGCAAGGCTGGCTTGATCCCATCCTTTCGGTTTTAATTTGTAATTGGTTTTAACTGGGTTGTTTTAAATTGATGGCCAAAATTATTTAATGTCTTTTAAACTGCTTTTAAATTTTATATGTTATTTTTTACCGTAGCTGTTCACCGCCCTGAGTCCTGTTGGAGAAGGATGGTATACAAATTAAATAAAATAAAAAATAAATAAATACAGTCTATCCCTGCCTTTCCTGCCTTTGTGCCCTCTAGATATGATGGAACTGCAAATCCCCAAATTCAATCTGGGAATTGTGCATTTTGCAATCCAGGTAATTCTGTAAGGTATGAAGTTGGAGAAAGTTAATCTATATTATCCTACAAAAGCATTTTTTGAGAGCAGTATAAGTTGTTCTATGTTCAACAGCAAATTAAATGAAGAAAATAAAAACTGAATAAAAAGTTCCAGTGACGATCTGTTAATAACTTTGTTTCTTAAGAGACAATATGGAACTGAGAAATTTTGAAATTTTAATAGTTGTGTGATTGTATTTTTAAAGGGAAGAGAAACCACAAATGCAACAACAAGGGAGCAAGAAACACAGTTCTTATAACAATGTTTGCATGTATTATCAAATGAGTATTGGTCAAGAAATCATTATGAAGCATAGGCAGCATATTGCCATAGTACAGAGCAGATGTACTGCTGGCAATAACATTCTGGGATGATAAGGCTAATAGCACTTACTATCCATGGGGGCTTTCCATTCTCTGTGGAATTCAAATTACCACCTGATTGGGAACAACTGAGATAAAAGGTTGCTTTAACATCTTGAACATTTGATTGGTTCCTGGGGACAGCAGAAGATATAGATGTCTTTGACTTGATAAAAAAAAAGCTGTTCCCACATTCTTAGGAGAAAGAGTGAACTATTGCTCTACCATTACTTGAGAGCAAATATGATTTTCTTGCACTGAGAGACATAAATATATACAGACTACAGGGCACAGAGTGAGTTAATTGCAATGGTAATAAAGATAAAAGTCAAGAGATAGTGAGAGAAATTCCCAAATCTCTGCTTCATATGGCCAGCCATCTGAATATAAACTGTTACAGCAATGAAGTTACAATGGGAAAACATGCTAATTAATTACTGGCTAATGTGCATAAGGTACAGACTCCTAATATTTAGACTTGCTAAGAAAATAGACTATTTGGTCCTTACTTTATTAAAATATTTTACCAAAAGCAGTTAGATCACTTTGTAATCTGACTACATAAATTTGTATGTCCACTGAACATATGTATGTCCACTGAAAACTACTGTATTTGGCATATCCCACAGGCAAGCAAAATACGTGCGTGGAATTACTGTTACATGCTTACTGTTTGATCATTTGGGGGTGTTTGATTATTTGGGGGTTGTTTTTAAACAACAAACCTGAATATTAATGCATGTTTTCTCAGGATAATCTTCTTATAGATTAGACAACCATTCTTTCTTGACAAAGGTATGATCAAGAGTCTAGTACAGTGATGGCTAACCTTTTTGCTGTCGTGTGCCAAAAGTGGGGGGAGTGTGAGGGAGGGTGTCGCGCGTGCCCACACCCATAATTCATTCCCCCCCCCCACACACATGCGCCCAGTAGGTCCGTTTTTCACCCTCCCCAGGCTCCAGAGGCTTTCTTGGAGGCTGGAAATGGCCCTTTTTCCGACTTCCAGTGGCCCAGAAGGCCTGAAAATCAGCTAGCTGGTGTGCGCATGCGTGCTGGAGCTGAGCTAGGGCAACGCTCACGTGCCCACAGATATGGCTCCGTGTGCCATCTGTGGCACGTGTGCCATAGGTTCGCCATCACGGGTCTAGTAGCACCTTTTCAGACTAACATATTTTATTAAAAGTCTTAAGCTTTTGTGAAGTGTCTCTTCTGATTTCTGCTACCATCAGCTAACATGACTCTATTTTTACTATGTCTTTAAAATAGTGGTTCTCAAACTTTTATTCACCACAGACGCTTTTTAAATATCTTTTGTGGCCATGTTCCATGGCCACAGGCCCCCAAGACTTAACTCAAGATTTAAATCATAAATTTCTTCAAGCCTTCACGGACCCCCTGTGTCAACATCATGCTCCCCTAGGGGACAATGGACCACAGGTTGAGAACTACTGCTTTAAAGGACTGAATGCGCCTAAAGTGTTAGGATGAAAGAAGAGCTCTAACTTGGATTTTACTTGAATGTCTAAATATGTCTCCAAGGACTCTTCCACAACTTTTTTGTGTTTGCATTTTGCATTATATTTTGTATATTAACATCTCAGCCTACAGTTTTACAGGTCAATATGCTGTAATGTCCTTTTATGTGGATTTTAAGAATCTTTGTAAACCTATTTTTAGAAACAAAAAAAATATGACACATCTCTTATACTTATCTTGTCTACACAAAAGGCAGGAGAGATGTTTAGAAATAAAATAAGGAGGAATGATTACTTGTGCCTGCTATGTAACATTCATTTTTCCCCCTTTATGCTATAAAATATTAGTCTGTTACTATTGGAGAGAATAGTGTGATATCATGAACATGCTATTTATTTGTCAAGGGTAAGGAGTGCTATTATCTAATCTCCACATTTGGTTTTACAGATAACTGATATCAATTTGAGTTCTAATAAAATGGCTTGTATCTGTTGATATTGCTAATGTTGCATCCTGTTTTCACAAGATAGCTGTAGCTGCCAAAAGGAAATGAATTTACTAAAATAATTTTAGGTTTTTTAACCTGCTGGATTTATAGATGTCATATATTTTGTAATACCACTGGATTGCAAGGTATACACATTTATTTAGATGAATGGATAGATAGATGGTAGATAGATAGATAGATAGATAGATAGATAGATAGATAGATAGATAGATAATACATCTGTAGGTAAAGATCCACATTTAAAAAAATTAAAATAAATAAAAATCCTCTTCTCCAATCTTGTGTCGTATTTTACTTTTGATTGCATGTATCTATTTGTAGCTTCTGTTTTCAGTTTCATATCTGGATGAATTTAAAGTCTTTTTGTAGTTTCTTTGAATACATCATTTATGTCTCTGAGCTTTTAGACATCTTTGGAATAGGGAGTGCAGGCACATATGAAAAATATCAAGAAGGCAGTTCCAAGCATGCAACCAAAACGCTCTTCTTTTTTCTGTCAGTTGTGAATGCAATGCATGTTTTAAAGGGGACAAGATTTTCTGCCATCTTGCCCTGCCTGAATGCACTCGGGGGAGAAAGTTGGGATATAAATTAAATACATAATCACAAAATAATTTTGAAAAGTGGCACAAAATTGTTAAAGCTAAATAAATCTTGTGCAGAACTGCCTCAAAATATAGCTGGTATACTTGAAAGGCCTCAGCAGAGAAATAGCACATCTAATAGAATCAGGATTCCATAATTTAACTTCTTACTCCTACTACTCCTAAATTTCAGATGAAATCTACCTTCCTGTAATTGTGGCCCATGAAATCTCGTCATGTGCTCAGTGCTGAAGACAACATTGGAAACAAATATAAAGCTTTAGTTTTAAAAACATGTCAATATTCCTTGATGTTCCACATTGTTCAGACTGCATGCTGAATAAAGTTTTTATCATTACATTTTAGGAAGGACACACGTAAAGTGGAACATGTCCAAAAGAGAGAAATCAAGGATGGTAAGGAACCTGGGAGGAAATATAATCAAAGGGTTGCTATATAGAAAACAGGTCTATGTATTTTGGAACAACAGACAGTCATGCACTTTGAAATACCAACACCCAACAGTAACCAAGGAAGAAAAAGAAATAAGGTACAACAAGAGGATGTTTCTTGATCCTGATCACATGTTATGCATATTTTGGGATTGTGGTTACTTGCGACCCCATGTAAAGAAAAAAATCTGATTTTATTGGCAATGAGTTGTTTATTGTTCTTACTTGACAAGAATCGTATCTCATAGCAAACATCCCTCCATGCTTTATGAAGGATTGGTAATCCATCACTCAAAGTAAATACCATTGAATACATAAATATGAACCTCCTCTTTCTTTCATATCATCTTGATTTTAAACTTTGTTCTACTGAATCAGACAGTGTAAACAAACAATGAACATGTTTTTAAAATAGCCATCCAAACTATTTCTCAGCCTGACATGTTAACATTACCATAAATTCTTATAAAGATAAGTATGTCCATAGTGATTTTTCCAAAACACTTGACTTTTTTTTCCCAAGTAAAAAGGCTAACTAATTGCTAATACTAGTTTTGGAAATCTGGCACAACCACAGCTATTTGACTGTCCAAGAATAAAACAGAGACAATATATTTTCTAATTGTTTATACTTCAGAACATAAATTTCACAAAAAAAACTCACCACCTTAAGCCTGTAGTATATAATCCAGAATGAATCATTTAGATCAGTGTTTCTCAACCATGACACTTTAAATCCTGTGGATGTCAACTCCCAGAATACCCCAGCCAGCTATGCTATGAATTCTGGGAGTTGAAGTCCACATTTTAAAGTGATCAAGGTTGAGAAATACTGTTTTAGATAACTAGACCTAGCTCTTAAAAATAAAACAAACATGAAAACTAGTGTCAGCGCCACTAGATAAAACCAGAGTAGGAAATCAACTCCACAAGAAGGCTAAAAGTACTTCTATTGGCTACAACAATAGAATCTTGCAAGTCTGATTGTGCTATATCTTCTCTTTTTATAGTTCAGTGAGTTAGGGAGGCTTCTATCTGAGAGGCCTCTGAATCTTATCTAGCTGTTTGGACTTAAAAAAAGTTTCAGCTCTTTCTGTCTATGTAACCCTTTTCACACATCTCGGTCAAAGTCATTTGCTTACTCCTTATAGCCAGTTAACAGAAGCTCATTATTGTTTGATCAATTAAATCAAAGAAGCAATTGCCCCAAATAAACATGAGGCATAGGTCCTTAACAGATCAATGACACAAAACCACTTTGCTTAGCGATCACAATTAGACCAGAAACTATGGTCACTTAACTGCCACAGTCACTAAGCAGAAAATCATGTGTCTGTGACTGGCTTATGACCTTATTTCCCATTTGTGAACCACCATGGTCATTAAGCAAAACATTACATGATGGAGACTTCCTCCTTATCTAGTAACTCTTTTGTTATAAGCCAATTGCAAAGAGCCCAAGTGGCAGTCGATAGCTATGAGATGCTGCAATGCTATAAATGTGAGGATTGGTCACTAAGCAATTTTTTTTCAGCGATGTGACTTTGAACAGTTGCTAAATAAGGCAGTCAGTGAACGAGGACTATCTGTACTTCTTCTCTGTCTTATGTTCCAATGAAATCAGGGAAGAACCTGCCAGAATTCATTTGAATACTACCTTGCTTCCCAGAACTTAAGGAAAGTTTCAGCCCTCTTTGTTTATAGAATGGTTCTTGCCTATTTCTTTCAAGGTCATCACTAGGTCAGTATATTCTGGAGAAGCTATAATAAAAACCTCTTTGTTTGCCAGCTTTTGTACAGACACAGGGTTTTTTTTAAATGTAAGCATACTTCCTAAGGACAACTGAAACTATTTAAAGGATTTATATCAACTGTCCGCATGCCAAATAGATAATCACAATAACTCTTCAATATATTCCATCAGTTTTGCAGCCAAAATTTGAATCTCTTGTCTGAGTATCTCTTTTAAAAGCAGGATACAAAACTTCAGGGATTTTGAGTTTAATCCTGGATTAATTTCAACAATCACAATATTTCAGTCACACCTCTCTTTACAGTATGACGATAAAATAATGAAAGAAAGTTTATTCCCACAATTCTGAGTTCTTTGGAAAAAAACATAGTGATAAAAAATATAGTACATAAATTGTAGCCACACACCATGAAATGTAGACATGTACAACACTGAGTTCAGAAACAAATGCCTGATCTTCTTGTGTCAAGAAGCGAGCAGAAGAAAAAAAGAATTCAAACTTCCCAAGATGATCTACTTTTGTTCAACAAATCAGATAGTTTATTTGTACAAATCAGAAGCCATATTAGCATGTCTCCAAATCCAGATATAGTTGAGTTGAGTGCTCTGAATTCACTAAAGGAAATTTCAGGTACTATTGGATTAAGGATGAAGCAAGATGAAACTAAATAGCTTATCCAAAATTGTATCTATACCAAGACCGTTCTTGGTATACGCAACTTAATATTGTGAATTTCTCAATTCAATATTTTAAGATTAGATTTAAAAAAGTATTATAACAGAATAGTTAAGAAAGGTATGTGTGTACGTGTACACAGACACATATAAGTAATTTGGAGCTTGCTAAGTATTCCCTTCCCCTGGACAAATGGTATTGAGAGATTATAAATAATTAGATATAGATTTATAACATAAAAACATCTATGTTGAAAAGCTTACAGCTGAGCTTTACACTCTAATTGTAAGCAAGCTCTCCTGTATCAATAAAATTTATAATTCTAGTTATAAAATGTCTTTACTGAATTTGTGAGGCCATTTATAAAATACGATTATTAAAATTTGGATAATATATCATTTTTTTCTGTTTGCAGTACAACCTAATTTTCTTCGCTTTCTTCCACCTTGGTCCCCAGTCCCAAATATAGCTCTCTGCTAATGATGCAGATGTCTCATGGATAGCAAACTGAATCAGGTCTATGCAACTTGTGACCCATCAAAGAGGTCACTCATTGTGCTTGAGGAAACTTATGTTGTGCAGTTGTGACCATATGGTCTTTTGAATGTGATATCTCAATTTCCATTAGAAATCTTTGTCATAGGAATATGTGACTAGAATTCATGATTCCTCTTTTAATTTTGGGGCACAGTCTACAGGTATTACTGTAAGAATGACAGTTTCCATACAAGGCATAAAAATCCATCTCTTAATAGAAGGGGAAAGGATATATAATTCTTCCAACTACTCTTTTCTACCCTGATGCTAAATGGTCAGCCATTACTTTGTATGGGGAGAATAGGGTTACTTACATTAACTTCGGTTATAGCAATATCAACGACGCTACCAACAACAATTAAGGCATCAAAAGTGTTCCATGCATCAGTGAAATAGTGCTGTTAGGACAAGCATTCAGTAGCACGAGAAAACAGAAACAGAAAAGAAAGAGAAGAAAAGGACAGTGTTATAACACAGAAACACAATGTACCAGTACTGCATCTTTCCATCTCAAATCTGAGAAAACGGGAAGCAAACTATGAATTATGTCTGTCCTGCATTTGGAGCTAAGAACATATCCAAAGTTCTGTGACTTGTCCAAATAACATAATAAAAGGGGGAAGGGAAAACAGAGGTAAAGAAAGAGCTGGGGGAAGAAGAAAGAAAGAGAGAGAGAGAAAAACAGCACAGTGGGATTGCGGGTGTTTGCTGGGAAATACTCACATCGGCTTCACTGAGAACGATGTCTACTATGCTGCCAAGAACGACGAGGGAGTCAAACGAGTTCCAGGCATCACTAAAATAGCCCTGAACAGAGCAGGCAGGGTGCAAATGTTTGTAATTACATATGAAATGTCAGAATATTTGTATACTTCTGTTTAACTTTTTCATAAACAGAAATTACGTCAAACAAAAATGCTGTGGCCTCATAAGAAGAGAATAAACAATATTGCCTACTAAAGAGAAAGGCTTATATGTGACATGATACCACTGCCATGTGCCAACAGAGTTCTGCAGCAGATGATTTATGTTGTAAATATGGACATAGGGTACTGACAGTATGAGCAAAGAATATCTGCACTCCACACTGTTCCAATGAGGCTTCACTACGAATTAACATCAACTTCTACAGTAGTTATAGTTATGGATGAGAACTACCACAAGCCCCATCCAACTGATGTTGCCCAAGGACACCAGTTTGCCATCTCAAGTTTAAGCTGTTGGAATACTCATGGACACCTGATAGCCTCCCTCACAAGTCATCTTTCACTGCCCAAATGCATCTTTCATAACATATACTGAAAGAATGGCTGCCTGTGTAAAATGCTGGTGGGCAGGACAATTCAGAGGAGAATATTAAAATCTAATTATAATTTCATGCTTCTAATTAGTTTACTTCTGCAAACTAATATGTTGTAACACTAACCATAAATAAAGAAGTGTTCAATAAGTGTCCTGTGTGTAGAATTATGTTTTAAGCAGAATCACTCCAAATCTCACCATGTAGATAGGATCGCTATGGCTTACACAGTGCCAGACCATTTTCCGTCTTGTTTTTTTTTTTTTTTTTTTGAGTATGGTTTTTTCTAAACTTTGGCTGTGTTCACATGGCGTGCTTAACTCATCATTGGTAGGGCTAATGGTTAGAACACCTATGCTCAGCCATAGGTTAGAAAAGGGTAGTTTTAACCTAAAATAGAGCCAGGATAGTTGGAGTTTGCCAACAGTTTCAAAGACAGTTTGGTAGTAGCTGAGCTTCCTACAAAGATGGCTGCACTTTGGGTAGGAACAGTTTGGGTCAGTTATGTGATATTGTCTAATAGTTTTGAAAGGTTTCCAAAAGGAAAATTCTCCAAATCTATTCAGAAGGGCTAAGGATTAAACCACAGATCTTCTGCCTGAAAGCAAGCATCCTAGCACTAAAGTATGATCCTTCTGATATTGTGTATGATTAATAATGTCCAAAATGTATTACAAATTGAACAAAGTCACTTTGACATACAATATAAGAAATTGTAAGGATAAGTGTGAAACTAATGGGCAACACACAGATCCAGTGGCAGTTTAAACGAGTTTATATGACTCTTTTAAAAATAAAATTCTCTGGGCACTCCAAAATGCTTGCCAATCCTTAACCAGAAAATACTTGAATGGGCCCCTCCCTGTCTTACTAAGTCACTATAAGATTATTGGAATTTTAAACTGCATGTCACATATTTATCAAGGTACACCTTTCCCATGCTCAATATTGTTTTCAGCAATGTGTAGGGGCAAAGCAAGCAAATACAAATAAGAACACAAGTGAAAGAAATCGAGATGATTCTGGAAAAGGGAAAAATGCAATATATGGACAAGTCACAGCAAGTAAACTTGCATCACACATCTCATAACCTTCATCACTGCAATAATCGAAGATGAAATTACTTACTAGGTATCTTTTCTTTTTTGGCACACAAATCTGATACAAAATGGCAAGGGAAAATAATTCCATATTTAGTTACAGAATGCTTGGTTTTCATGACCTCATGAACTTTGCAAATAATTTATGGTATTCAGCTTTTTTAAATTGGAAAACAAGTAGTGGGATGGCTTGGAGCATAAAGCATCATGTTGTCCCCCACTCCCTCATTGGTTAGTTGCAGGGCTAAACCCCCGATGAGTTCTGTGAACTGAGTATGCCCATCTGGAAAAGAATTCCTAAATTCAACCAGCTACTGACAAAGTTGAGACTCTTGGCTCAAAAGACATTCTGATTCCATAGGTGGCCTTATATGGAAGAGCCTGTCTTCTAATGGAGGTTCATCTCCATTCAGCAGGTGGATATTGGAGGACCAGATTTTCATCAGTTATGAGAGATGACATGGTTTCACTCCTAGTTCAAAGTATAATTCACTATATGAGGAATGTCCGAAACTATTATGCATCTACAAAGCCTGGGATCAGATTCGATCCATAACCAAAATAAAAATCTGATAATGGCTTAAATCTAAATTGTTATTTCTGAATAATAACTGAGAATGTTAAACTACTGAATTTGAAAAAAAAGTCATGTTAAATTTCTGGAGTCCATTTGCTTATTTGCAAACTGTTCATAAGTACACTGCTTCCAACATGTGTCAGTGCCTACCTACAAACATATGCCTGTTCTATTTGCCCAAAATATATTTTAAAAATCTCTGAAATATGTGACATAAGAACACTGCCTGTTTTGTGTTATAGTACTACAATAGTTAAACATGCCTTGACATTGACATTTGGGAATGTAATATATGTTCAGAACTATCAGAAAAAAATAGTGGATTTATAACATTAATATACTCCTTATTTATATATTACCAGCAATACATTTTTAAAAAAAGTTTCTACATTTTATTTCCTGCAGTTGCATAAACACTGTTATCAGATTTAAGATTTCCAGTGAAGATACTGTATTTCTCATGATTAACCATGAAAAACTTACATTCACCTACTTATGTGTGTGATCTAAGCAAAAAATACTTGTAAATTAAAAAGAAGCAACTAAAAAAGAAATGCTAATTAAATCCTACATAATCTCTTACCTTCGGTTTAAATGCAATGAGTTTCAGAACCATTTCAACAGTAAACACTGCAGTAAACACCATATTCAGAATATCCATTGCATCATTAAAAAGTTTAGACTGTCCATAGTGCTATGAATAAAACAAATGAGAAATTTATTAATATAACTAAATATTTTTTCAGGCAATCAAAATAAACAAAACAATACATCTCTAACACCCTATCGCAAATCTTGTACTAAAAGGATTAATATGAAATCCTATGTTGTTAATACTTCACAAGGAGAAGTTTGTAGCATAAAGGCTAAAGCCCAGGAGATGGTGTGTCCCTCCTTAGGCACAAAAGCCAGCTCTGTGACTTTGGACCAGTCATTCTCTCTCAGCCCAATCCACCTCACAGGGTTGTTGTTGTGGAGAAAATAGGAGGAGGAAAATGTATTAGCTGTGTTTGCCACCTTGAATTATTTATAAAAAATAATAAAAGTGAGATTAAATATAAATAAACAAACAAACATATGGCAGTCTCTTATTGCCCAGCTACAAATAGCATTTATTTGTTGTCTCTTTCTAAATTTACTGTGAAATAGCATATTGACATCAAAGTAAATTATTGTTCCCTATAACAAGTTATTATTTCTCCCAATATTAGGAAATAATTGCTCTCAACATTTATTAAGTCACCCTTCCCTTTATCTTAAAAATACCCTTTTTCCTAAATCCAATTTTTCTTTACCTCCAGATCATTAAAAAGATCACTAATATTGATATTAAATATCAATATCAAAGATATTAAATACGGTAATGCAATTAAGTTTGCTCTTAAGCAAGATTTTTAAGCAATTCTCAAAAGCTATCTTAACATTAAGTCATGATTTCTTTTAATCAAATGTTATTTGTTAAAGAAACCACAATGCCCGGCATAGCATGTAAATTCAGGTAAAACCTGTACCAAGGAACTGACTAGCTTTGACCAGTGTTAAACTGGAAGCTGGCAATTGGCTGGATTCATATATTGTGCTAAAATGCAATTTCTTTTCATTTTGGCTTGTGGAATAAACCAGAGTTGCTTGATCCATATATAACCCCAATCCATAAGCAATGGTTTACAAACCACAGTGGCTGGGTTCATTAATGCCTGTAGCAAGCCAAGATGAGACAAAATTATTAAAGTGTGCACTATGACATCATAATATAAGCATTACCTTTTCATACTGCAGTAAAATTGCAGACAAGTACAGGTAGTCTTTCACTTACATCACAATTGTGCCCAACATTTATGTTGCTAAGTGAGACAGTTGCTAGGTGAGTTTTGTCCCATTTTATGACCTTTCTTGCCACAGTTGTTAAGTGAATCCCTGCAGTTAAGTTAGCAACACGGTTGTTAAGTGAATCTGGCTTCCCCATTGACTTTGCTTGTCAGAAGGTGACCCCTGGACAGGACACTGCAACCATCATAAATATGAGTCAGTTGCCAAGAGTCTGAATTTTTGATCATGTGACCATGGGGATGCTGCAATGGTCATAAGTGTGAAAATGGTCATAAGTCACCTTTTCAGTGCTGTTGTAACATTGAGCAGTCACTAAATGAAATATTGTAAATTGAGGATTACCCCTATGCAAAAGATTGGGCTTGGGGTTATGACACTGTAATATTTCAGTGGTTTCAGTGGTCGTTCCCCTTGTTCACTGATGGATAGGTTCACAGACATTCTAACCCTAAAGCAAATATGATATCTTAGTATGAATTATGAACCCAGGCAGGGTAATGGTTAAGCATTCGTTCAAGGACTGGTTGAAGGGAAGAAGCACACAACTAAATGCCTGCTTCAAATAGAAGGATTAAATATACACAACTGCTGTTACATAGGGAAATTTAGAAAGTCCTCATTACTCAGGCTTGTAATTTTGCTTCCATTGTTCCTGTGCAAAAAGTTTCTCATTTCAATTAAATGTCCAATCCTGAATTCTAGTGAATGAAAGCAAGAAAGTTTTATTGGAAGTATTTTATTATTATTAGTGTTTTAAAAATCCCTTATGGAACAGACTTTCTGAACAATTATAGGGAGGCCTGGAGAATTTGATGACAATTATAAATGTGGCCAAAAGTATCATTGCCTCTCCCTTTTTCCAATTTGCTGTGAAACAAGTTGAAGCGGATACAAGTAAATGGTATACACCACTCTTCATTCCACAGTCGATAGAGCAGACATTGTGCTTTTGATGTATGATTTAACATATTCTTGTAGCAATAGCAATAGGACTTAGAGTTATATACTGCTTCACAGTGCTTTACAGCCCTCTCTAAGTGATTTATAAAGTCAGCCTATTGCCCCCAACAATCTGAGTCCTCATTTTCCGACCTCGGAAGGATGGAAGGCTAAGTCAACCTTGAACCTGGCAAGACTTGAACTGCATTCTAACCACTGCGCCACTACAGCTCTTGTAAATAATAAAACTAAAATTAAAAGTAATTTTCTTAAGATTTTAGTAAAAAATAAATAAATTCCAAAACTAAACATGAAATCCACTGTTGCACGCAGGAATACTTTCTGAAACTTTTCTCTGTGCCATCTTGCAGTATTCCTAAATCTGTAGGAAATGCTAATCACGTGCAGGATAATTCCAAACAAACAAGTATAGAGGATGATTCTAAATAAAGTGAGAGGAACAAACTAATTGTAAAATAAAATGACCATTCCCAATTTCCTTAGGAAAAGAGGCACTTTGTTTCACTCCTACCTGCATAGCCAAGCAAAGGGTGTTGAGCATGATGAGGACAAACATGATATATTCAAAGACAGCAGAGTTCACCATATACCAGAATTTGTACTGGTAAGGATTTTTTGGAATGTATCGACGCAGCGGCCGGGCTTTCAAAGCATATTCTACACACTGACGCTGAAAATAGTAGAAATATCAACATCATAAACAGGAACTGCAATCTTGTCCAGAACTATCTGTCTGCGATTCAAGTTTTTATTTCAGAAACAAATCCATTCGTTCCATTGTATCAATAGTTACATCCCATAGCAGGGCCAAAAGGAAAGATCCATTCCAAACATATAGTGGAACTAGACTGTAGTCACAATGTAATTGTTAAATTCAATGCTTAAAACTGGCTCTTGGATCTGTAGCTCAAAATTTGCTTAGTAATGGCAAGGAAGGAAAAATTAGAATTCTGAAAATCATTATATATTTGATTATAATATTTAAATAGGTGCTGCTTTATTACCTGATTTTTGTCAAGTTCACAGTTTTTGTATTCTTGTTCTCCCTGTTCTTGGAATGTGACAATGACAAAGCCAACAAATATGTTCATCATGAAGAAAGCAATAATAATGATGTAGATGATGAAAAAAATAGAGATTTCCACTCTGTAATTGTAGACCGGTCCTACATTCTCTCCATTTGAATCTATAGCTTTATAAAGAAGCCTGCATATTAAAGACAAATGAACAATGGATTCTAACATCATGAAAACAGCAATTTCTAATTCTGGTTTCAATATTCAAAGGTATATTTTAGAAGGAAGATCCTTTTCTGGTCACGGAACAAGAGGGCAAGATGCCTGCCACTAAAGTATGATTCAAAGCATATTCAATATTATTTGCAAAGTGAGCTGTCATCCTGGTGGTAGCATCAACAATGGAAATGTAATGGACTAGTAAATATTTTCATCATATTTACAGTCTGTTTAAAATGTAGATGTTCATTTTCCCTGCTCCATTAACAGTATAGCTCTGTAACATATTGTACCTATAAAATGGTACATGCTCATTACAACAAGGCAATAGTATTTCTAAGAATCCCAGCCATAGTCTTCCTGAAAAGAAATCAATCACCTCTGAAAAGGTTAGCCAAAACAAAACAAAATAAACTCTTTTGTAAATGATACACTTACGCAGGCCAGCCCTCAAAAGTAGAAACAGTAAAAAGAGCCATCATAGCAGTAAGGACATTATCAAAGTTGAAATCGCTGTTCTGCCATTGTCTCTCTCTCACCATTGGACTGTCCATATCTCCATCTTTATAAACAATAAATATTCCCCTATTGAAATGAGTTGGGGGAAAAAAAAGTTACTAGGGTAACTGACAATTATTTTAAAATTTCTTTCTATGTTTCTTAAAGTGCACATATGACAATCCTTTGCATGTTTTAGTAACCCTAATTAATAATGGGGTATCTTATAGCTCACTAAAATATTTCCACCTTTGGAGGTGTTTCTATTTATATGATAATATTGCCTAGTTTGGGTAATGAAACATCTGCAAGAAAACAAGAAAGCTTAGAGAGCACCAAGATATTGAGGGGTACTGGGCCCAAGACAGAACCTTGGGATACCACACTGCATGCTTCCCTCGTAGGTCCACTGATGACATTCAGTTCCTTTTGGGGTCTACTAGCTACTTGAAGATTTATATTCCATCACAAGTCTGAACTTTAGGAACTATATTGCTTCTCAGCAACATTTGGAGACCCAAAAGTTTTTTTGCTATCTAAAAATGCAGATTTTAAAAATTTAAAAATGCAGAAAATATTCTTACCGGCAGTCCACAGGATTTTGCTTTGCTTCATCTGTGCATCGATAGAATTTTCCCTGTGCATAAAAAAAGCATAGCGATAGACTCTAGAGCACCATTACTATTTTAAAAATGTTCAAGTATCTCCGCAGAAGTTCAACAAGCCTCATGAGGAATGATTTACAAGAGCAATTTTTATGTATCATTTGGTTTTACTATGCTCTGGATTTTTTCCCCTTGTTCTTACCTTAAAGAGCTGGACACCAATACATGCAAACATGAACTGGAGTAGAGTTGTAACGATCATGATATTACCGATAGTTCGAATGGCAACAAAGACACATTGAACAACATGCTGTAGAGAAAGAGAGAGGGGTGTGGGGGGAGAGAATGAATCAGTTCAATTTTCACTTGGTATGTAATCACTATGCTTAATAAAGTAGCACTTCATTTTTAAGGTATCAATAAAAGATTTCATTTGATATTTTAAATTATACCTTACTATTTCTATACTCAGAATAGGGACACAATAGAAAAAAGACACCTTACATTCCACAAATGCATTCTCACTATTAAACAGCATATACACATAAACAGCATATAAAGAAGCTAATAATGCAATATTAAATATGTCTAAAACAAAATTTCTTGAACTTGAGCTCAACAAGGTGTATTCCCAAGGAATATAATTAGGATCTCAAACTTTCATTGCTAGAAGATATGAAAAAAAGGATTTCGTTCCTAGGTAGACTAAGAAATTAACATCTCTTTTAGATAAGCTAAGATCAAGGATTAAAGTTCAAGAAATAGGATGAGTTGATGGGTGTACAACCAAACCACTACTGGAATTCAGAAATGAGAATTATGAAGAAATCAAGACAAAAGAGAAAATACAGGAATATATGACAAAAAGCCTATTGGTTAAAAATATTTGGAAACAAATAAAGACATCATTAAAACCAATTGAGAAATATGAGGCTCAAAATGATACAGATGTATTTATTTGAGCTAAAAGTCCCCCAGGCATTCTTAAGGTAATCTCTGTTGAGGCAATTGATATATTAGACTCTTACTATAGTTTTATTTATAAACGGAATATGCACTTTTCAAAGAAAATTCAGATAGAAACCTTAAGTCCTTTTGCTCTGTTAATAGCCCTTAATGGTCTTAAGACTCTTAAAACTCTCAGAATCTTCACAACTGATATAGCACTTGATCTAGATGAAAAGTAAAATAAATAATACATTAGCTTGACATGACTTAATGCTACTCAATTAATATAATAAAGTTAAGTAATACTCATGCATATAGCAGCCCATTAATTCTAAAATTTAATTTGTTTCCAGAAAAAATACTGATAGGTTTTTATTCCCCTCTTGTTCTACATCTCCTTGATGCAAAAGAATCTCTTGGAATGGATAACACCTTAGTAAGCCATTCATTAATACTTAATTCCTAAGTAAAATGAATAAAATGAGGTATATGGCAGCACACAATTGGTCCCATCCAGGTTTTTAATAGATACACAATTTTTCCCCCTCCAAACTTAAAAAAACAAAACAAAAAATTTCCTCAATTTTTGTTGTTGTCTTATTTATTTAGGTAATACATGTATAGAAAATAATAAAAATATTTGCATTTTTATTCCTTAGTCTACAAATGATAGATGACTTACAGTAATAATAAAAACCACAACAATACAGGTAGTCCTTGACTTAAGAACAAATGTTCCCAAAATTTCTGTTGCTAAGCGAGACAGTTGTTAAGTGAAATTTGCCCCATTTTATGACCTTTCTTGCCATAGTTGTTAAGTGAATCACTGCAGTTGTTAATAACATGGTTGTTAAGTGAATCTGGCTTCCTCACTGACTGTGCTTGTCAGAAGGTCACAAAAGGTGCTTACATGACCCCAGGACATGGCAACCATCATAAACATTAACCAGTTGCCAAGCATCTGAATTTTGATCAGGTTGGTCACAGTGTCGCAAGCGTGAAAAACAGTCATAAGTGTCTTGGACGATCACTAAACAAACTGTTATAAATTGAAGACTACTATTAATCCTCCTTTTGGTCTGTTCTTTTACATTCGTAATCATCCCTCTTATCTGTCCCTCAAAGGAGTTCCACAATAAAAGTACAGTATAATTAAAATGTTAATAATAAAATAAATATAATCCCTAAATGACAACACATTGTGAAATATATTATAGGTAATATCCAGTACAATTGAATAAATGTGATCAAAATGGAAAATCTGGACTCATCTAGATTGTAATAATTTCTAAGTTATTGAAATAGAATTCTAGATATTGCAAAATACCTATGACTTTTTTTTCTCAAAATACAGAGAAAGGGAATGCAATCTATTAGCCGTCAAGATTGATACAGAATGCTAAGCCCACAAGATATGACAATTTCCATATGATCGGAGAAATAGTACTGTTTATATTCAAGTCATAAAGGAATAAAGTAAGAAACAAAATGAACCATACTTACTGAATGCCAAATGACACAAGGGAAACACCCACTACCAACAAGTCTAGCAAGTTAAAATAATTCCTGCAGAAAGACCCTTTATGAAGGAAGGCTCCAAACACAGTCAGCTGAAAACAACAGTTACAGTTTGAATCATTTATAGGTTCTTTACAAGATATCTGCAGAGGATGTACCGTATTTTTCGGAGTATAAGATGCACCTTTTCCCCCCTAAAAGGGAGTGAAAATTTAGGTGCATTTTATACACCGAATGTAGCCCCGCCCACCCACTGGCCCCCACCCTTTGGCCTCTGCCTCCCAGCAGTTACCTCCTTGCAAGCAAACAGCAAGAAAAAACATTTCCTTTCAGCTTCAGCACAGCCTAATTAGCACAAATTGATTGGATTGGCCTCCCGACTCTCAGCTGATTTGCTCTCAGCTATTTTGCGCAGGGCTCTGCTGGTTGTTGCAAAGAGCTAAATTGCTGGAGCAATTTTTTTTTCTTTGTGCTAATCAGACTATGCTGAAAACGAAAATGAAAGTAAAGCAGGATGTTTGCTGCAACGAGGCAAAATTGCTCAGAGGCAGAGGGAGATTTCTTTTTCTTCTTTTCCTCTCCAAAAAAGGTAGGTGCGTCTTATACTCCGAAAAATACGGTATGTTGCTTTCTATATCATTCAGAATGCAAAGAAAAAGGAGCTCCCTCTGTTAATATTAGAAATCTTGATCTAATACTATATTACAGCATTTTCAAACTTCACTCAATTACTAAATAAAATTAAAATATCAACATCTCAAAAACAACCATATGTGCACATCATATAATCACATCATAACTATTTTTTACTTTCGGTCCTATCCACTTTTTTGCAGAGATGTTCCTCAAAGGCCAACTGTACCTTTTGGCTGCAAAAAGGTTGCATATTCCTGGACTTAAAATATGGAAAAACAGTGTTATACTTTGTAAGAACATAGTGATATATGTTCTTGAAAAGCATAACAGTGCTTTGCAAGAACATAGTGATATACTATTTTAGCTCTATGTAAATCTATTTCACAAAAAAGTAATGAAAAATAACATGTTCTCCCTCTGAAAATTTTAAGTTCTTTTATGATCTTTCTTTTTTAAAAAAACAAGAGAGAAGGAAGGAGGGAAATCCATCATAGAGAGAGATGTTTTCCTTCTTCTGACAGATTTTAAAAACAAAAGGGTTAAAATAAACTGCCAAATTGATGTAATGATAAAAATGAACTTCTATATGTACCCAAAGATTTGAAAAGTATATTAAAAAGTTAATAAAAAGTATCCTATCTGCATAAGTATATGGAAGGTAAACAAAAAGTAACAGACTTTATTGCTTTATTGTGTTTGAGTTAACAAGGATCAATAAACAATTAATTACCTTTAAAAGGATTTCCACAGTAAAGATGGCTGTGAAAGCATAGTCAAAGTAACCAAGTATCTGCAAAGCATAACATGCCACAGTGAGACATTTATTTACAAGTGCTTATGTTAGAATTTACAATTTTGTATATATATTCATATATACATTCTAAAAATACTGTCTTCTTATGGGAGTCTTATGGAAAGTTTTTCAACTTTCAAGTCTACTATATGCCTGGGATTTCCTTATGGTGTCTAAGTTAGTATCTAACTTCCAAACGCCATTCAAAATCAAGCCTACTTAGCTTTTTTTAAAGATCAGCCACATTTACACACACACCTGAGCTACATGGTGCCATCTTTTGAGATGTTTATGGACTAGTCCACTTTGAAAGACACAATTTAAGAAGATCATACATACAGATTGATTGTAAAATCTATTTTTTCTTACATTATTACGAAAAGAATGACTGCGAATAGGGTCTTCAGCTGCAAGGGAAGCACTGCTGAGCATGATGAAGACAAGAATGAGGTTGGTAAAAATATGGTGATTGATTAATCTATGACAACCCACTCGAATCCTGAAGAACAAGAAAAGAAAATGGAATATTATGTTACGACTGGCAGGTTAATTATTTCTGAATTATAAACAAAGGCAAAAAATGCTCATCTGAATATCACTAATGTGGAAATCGGTTACTTTATTAACTGTGTTGATAATTCAGCAAAACTATAAATGTAATAGAACACTGCATGATTTCTATTGTAAAGCTATTATATGTTGGATAATATTAAAGCACAATTTGCAACATTTCCATTTAAAGCATCCTCGTTTGGCATGTTTAAAACACAAATGTTTCACAATCCTGCTAGGAGTTCGATTTGAAAACAAATTCCATGTTAAAAAAATATTTAATTATATGTTCAATCTTGTGCTAGATAAATCAGCAGAATCTTTAGTTGTTATGTGCTATTATTTTATTTGGGGAAAAAATTGTTTCAAGGTATATGCTTTAAAAGGTTATTTACGGGTTTGTAGTGCTGAAAATAAAGAAGGAGCTGCCTTCAGGAATTGGTGTCATCTTCTCCTTCATATTAAGTTCAGATATTCTTCGGGGTCGGGGACCTGCAGGAACTTCTGGCTCTTCTTCTTCCTCCTCTTCCTCCTCTTCACCTACTTTATAGTGAAACTTTATTTATTACAAAGTAAATTAAAACATAATTCTGAGAAAACTCCATGTTCAAAATAGCCAGCAAGATCTATACATTAAATATAAATATATATGTAAATGTTAATTGACAGAACATTTCTGGAACTTCTCAACAGTATATAGTACAATTACATTGTCATGCTGAAAAAATGTGAAATTAGCTCTATAGCTTCTCTATAGCTTTGGCTGACAGCAGTGCTTTTCGGCAACCTGCTCCTTCCTTGTTCTGAGTTTAAAATTAGTTAATTCATTATTAGAGTAACTGACCAGGATTCAACAGATTAAGAAAGAAATCAAACAATTTCTATTTCAAGTAAGATGAAAAACAAACATAAAATTCCACCTATATCATCAAAATCGTGAAAACAATGTATAAACAATTTCAGCGAAATTTTCCACATTTGGGGAAATTGAGTCATATTAGTCTGACAGGAGCAGTTGTAACCTGAAATCAATCAGAACTGATTGGGAACTTCACCTTGTGGGTCTTTTCCCACAAGGGCACGATCTTAGCTCATCGGGAACTTTTATATTTGCCCTTAAAATAGCTGTTGGGAAGGCACTGAAACATGCCAATATCAGCACTCTTTGGAGTTTAGGAATGGTAATGTATTTAAATATCTTGTTGGTCTGAATGACAATTTGAAATCTATTCATTGGTAAAACCATTAAGTTGTACAAAGGTGATATAATGGCTTCTAACTATTGGTTAGAATTACTATTGGTTAGAAATCCTCTGCAGATTCCATTGCAACTCTAACCTTTATATTATATTTTTCTTCATTAATTAAGGCTAGAAAAAGCCAGAAATATATTTTAGCCATTTGGCCTTTTGTTTCTGAATACAACAGGAAGAAGGGTCTTGCTTTGGGGAAGAAGAAATTATTTCAGGAATAACTTTGATGGTGTTCGTGGCTGAATATATTTTATCCAATTTAAAGGTATGCAGAAGATATTAGATTGGTTATAAAGATTATGTAAACCAAGGATTACTAGTGCTAGAATATCTTCAGACCTTTTTTCATTTCCCCAGCCCCAAAAAAGGCTTTTTTAAAAGTCAGGGGACTCTTGAGAATAGTATGGGACCATAATGGAGGGAAATAATTGCACCATTCAAATGGACACTGTTTGCATTTCTTAGAATGAAAATGCATAGCTTCGGGATAATATTTATATGTGTGTATGTCGGTGTGTGTATACACACATTAGATTTACAATTCAAATTATATAATCTTATAATTCGGCACTATTATATATTTTATGCAAATCTTTTTTTTTTTAACCATGATAATGAAATTGGAGTTTTTCATGTTATGGCACATTTGACACAATAAGTCTTTCTGCCAGTGTGCAAAAGTGAGCTGATACCTGGGATATCACAAGCTGGATACGGATCTTTGTCTTCTTCTTCTTCTCCATATTCATTGATTGTAACCTCAAGTAACAAAAAAGTAAACATTTCAAAAAGAGGAAAGTAGCAGCATAAACTGGTACAGCTTGCTAATTTCAGGCCACTTCTTCATTTGTTTCTTTCATTTGGAAATGCCCAATGTTACAATTTTTTAAATCAAGAATTCTGGCTGAATAAATAAATGAATGAAATTAATATTAATCCAGAGTGTCTTGCAGAATCTATACTAGAGATAATCTAATATCTCTATCATTAACTCAAACAGTTGGTAATTTTTTTCCAAACCAAACGCTTTCACTTAATTATTGTTGAGACAGATGAAGTCTTACAAACATCTGGCAGCCCATTACTATAAAGCTCGGAGACCACCAAGGACCCCTGTTATTATAAAGTCAGGATGTAAATGGGAATCAAATCTTCATTTAAATATGCATTAAGAAGAAATCAGGGCCAGCTACGATATATATCCATTCTACCCTCTACACTTATCACAAGGAGATCCAATAAATATGAGTCAATACAGAGGACAAGGTTGTTAGGATTAGATGGGTATCTGTGTATTCCTGAGCTGAAGAGCTTCCTTATAAAGGAGGAACAGATCTTTTTTCCCCCAAGTTTTTTATTTTTTATAAAAATGTCAAATCAATGCATGAGCAGTGTGGCACCTGGGTGCCATACATTCCAATACAAACAAAACTGATCAAATTAAACATTATTCTTACATTCAATCGACTTATGTAATTCCCATAAGAACACACATATATATTAGGTTACAGTTTATCATTTATTCAATTCCACCTATTTCTCATTATTACTTTCATTTTATCAAATGAAAATACGATACATTAATATTCTCATTATTTCTATCACTTATTCTAGCTTTTAATCATATCACCCTATATTAAAAAGCTTTTTCTTTCTTTCCTGTCTAACTTCTAATCATGTCACCTGCCTACAAAAAGAGAGAAAGAAAAAAGAATAGAGAGCGGGGGGGGGAAGGAAGGAAAGACAATTCAAAACAACAGCCAAGAAAAGGAATCATCCAGGGGTGAAATGCTACCAGTTTGCACCAGTTTGGGCAAACCGGTAGCGGCAGTAGCACGAGGCTCTGCCCCTGGACATCATTACTTCCTGGTTTTAACCAGGAAGTAACCTGTTTTTTACCCTCTGAGCATGCACAGAAGGCTTTGCGCATACGCAGAGGGTCCAAAATTGAACGCAGCACATACACTTCCAAACCGGTAGGGAAGATAAATAGATTTCACCCCTGGAATCATCCATCCATTGTCTCTTGCCTGCTTATACTTTAATTGCTGTGCTTTAAAAGAAAGAGGGGGAAAAGGAAAAGCAAGTCAAAAACAACAATAAAGAAAGAGAAAAAAAGGAAATCACCTACCAATTGTCTCTTGCCTGCTTTGATACTTCAATTGCTACGCTTTTTTTGTTTGTTTTTTTGACTTGCCTCCCCCATTCCTCTCTTAAGCCTCCATCTATATCTATTTCTTGGATGTCCGATCTAGGTATTTCTCCTACCTCTACCCAAGGAAGAGCAGATCTTAAGTACCTTAGTATCCTTGGACTTCTTTGGTTCACCGTCTGGTTTGTCCCCCTTTTTAGCATCCAAACTCTCTTTTCTACAAGGACCATAAAAACAAAACCATGGGGAAAATGATAAAACATCCAGAATCATTGTCAATTAATGATTGTAATGAAACTGGAAAAAATAATATTTACAGCAGAAGCAAAATAGAGACAGAATAACATTTTATCAGCCTTACTTTATTTTGCATTATGTTAAATAATATTGCACAATTTAGTTTCACCATTATTATTTCTTAGATGGGTGTGAAGTAAAACATTCAGAGATGTACTCATAATTTAAATATTGTAATACATAAAATAATGTCTGTTCCTATTTTACTATGTATTTTACAGTTCATGATAACAATCATTCATTCATTCATTCATTCATTCATTCATTCATTTATACCATTAATATGGTGCACCAAAAGATACAGAGAGTGAAGGCAAATGCAGACCTTATTGTCATGCATAGAAGATTACATTTCTCCCTGTATTTATTTTATTTATATCACATCTTTATTATTTTCGTAAACAACTCAAGGTGGCAAACATCTCTAATATTAATCATCATCTTTTAATGACCCCATAATCCCTTGCGGGGTAGGCAACTGAATGGAGCTGAGTGATTGCTGGCCGGATGCCCTTCCTGTCACCAATGCGGAGTTATATTCAGCAGATATATTGTCATCGTGTCCAGAGAGAGAAATATCTGCCTCTACCTAGGATCAAACTCACAGCCTCCTGATTATGAGGTGAGAGCTCCACCTCTAGGCCACCACACCACTCAAACATATCTAATACTAACAAAGGAGAATATTTGTAGCTCAGGATTGAAATGGGAGGGGGGTTCCTTGGTGTTCCCTGATCTTGGTTGTTTTAGGTATTAGGTAATATCATCGGTGCTAGCACCTCTAGCACTGATTATGTTATCTAGTTTGGGTAATGAAATGCCTGAAAGAAAGCAACCAAGCTCAAAGAGCACCAAGGACCTCTCATATCTAATATTTCTTCTTCCTCCTATTTTCCCCAGAGCAACCCTGTGAGATGAGTTGGGCTGAGAGAGAGTGGCTGGCCCAAGGTCACCAACCAACTTTCATGGCTAAGGCAGGGTTAGAACTCCCACTTTCTAGCCTGGTGCCTTAACCATTAGACCATACTCTAATACTCTTGATGGGAGAGCATGATGATCCGGGTGGCCCTAAATTCAAATTACATAACAGACAACGTCCACTCTGATTTTAAATTGTTCAGCAGCTTCCCCTTTTTGTTTTTAAAATCCTATTCTTCTTCCAGATGGATGGGTAAATGGATGCATGGACAGATGAGGCAATTTCTGAACACGTAATTGCAGCAACATTATTTGTAGTTTGTGCCTCATTTTTTACAACCATTCATACCCTGACGATTTGCACATATGGATGAATTTTGGTAGAGATCCTTTCAAAGAATTCTTTCTATGCCTATATGTTTTGCAAATAACATAATAATAAATTCCTTGGATATACAGTGTACTTTGCACCAGTTTTCTACTCATACTATCCAAATTTTCTCTTTCAAAAGAATGAAAAGAGAAAATGAAGAAAACTACAAAAATGTACATATCTTGGGTGATTTTGTCTGTACCTGGCACTCTTTTTTCTCTCCTTTTCTTCAGCTTCTTCTTTCTGAGCTGTGTTCAGACTTTCAGCATCTGCCAGGTTATCAACCGCAATAGCCAAGAAGACATTTAACAGGATATCTAATTGAAATCATTTTAAGGATACTAAACAATCAATGCAAGTTCTCCTGTTAGTTGGTTATTCAACAGTAACTATTCAATTGTGACAGCTATTTTACAATTTGACTTGGAGGTTCCTTGCGCAAACCAGAATAAAAGGACATTTCCGTTTTATTTTTATTTATTAAAATAGAAGTATGAATATAAAACTCTACAAAATTCAAAAAACAGTTGCTGATTTTCATGCCAATTTGTTGTTCTCATAAACTCATTTTTCTTCCCCAGTAGCTTTTCTTCTCTGACATGGAAACATCCCCTCAAATTCACAAATACCACTCACAGTGTCTTTCGTTCTTCAACCTTTTCATCTTCTACTTTGAATGATGTCATCAACTGCATCCAAATCGGAGGTGGGTTTCAGCAGGTTCTGACCAGTTCTGGAGAACCGGTAGCGGAAATTTTGAGTAGTTCAGAGAACTGGTAGTAAAAATTCTGACTGCCCCACCCCCATCTGTTCTCTGCCTCCCAAGTCCCAGCTGATCGGGAGGAAATGGGGATTTTGCAGTAACCTCTCCCTGGAGTCGGGTGGGAATGGAGATTTTACAGTATCCTTCCTCTGCCACGCCCACCAAGCCACGCGCACCAAGCAATGCCACGCCCACCAAGCCATACCCACAGAACCGGTAGTAAAAAAATTTGAAACCCACCACTGATCCAAATATCTTGCAGTTTCTTGCATTTCCTGTACTCTTAATCTATTTACTCCACCTTCATAGATTTGTTTTGAAACTTTTACATTTGTTTTACATTTTTTTCTATCATAGTGCTGACTTTTACTTATCATCTGGATGGGTCTATCAGTAGATGGTTTTTAGTTGGTTGCAAACTATTGGAAATATGCTGTTTTGGGCTGAATTTGTAGCCTTCCAAATTTGAGCTCTGAATAGGCTGAGCAGGACACCCATGGAGATTAATTTAACAGTAGTCAGTAGGATCTAAAAGGTTCTTGCTGAGAGCACTGGATTGAAAATCAGACCTTACTCCCACAGATGAGTGCTGGGCAGGGCAAGCTTGGGATCATAAGCTTTTTTGGGAAGAAATGGGAGCAGTAGAGACAGGCATGTGCTTTGTGCTTTGAAGTTCGCTACCAGTTTCAGTAGTATTTCATCTTAATTCGTATTACTGCTTTTAAAATTATTTTAAGTTGTATATTTATTAGTTGCTTGAACAAATGATAGTAATTTACTACAGAGGCTTATCTATCTGATTACTTGCCAACATATGGCTCAGAGGACTAATTGCAATAAGACTAGAACATGATTTACCTAGACAAGAATATAAAGCTCATGGTTTTAACTGCGCTGGCAGAAGAATAAAGGAGAACAACCACTGTAGTAACTGAGTGATTTACAGGAAAACAATAATTCCTCTATTGTTGCAAGCCCAGTACAGGTGGAACTATTGAATTCCACTTCCTCTCAGTTGCATGCCACTGAAATGAGTACCATTACTGTGTGCAAAGCAACACTGTGGGTAACAGCCTATACTTTAGGAATAAAAGAGAAAAAACCGTGATTTTTCTCTCATTTCTGATAAGCTCAAAATCCAAAGCATATGTGATGATCTCAGCTGATGGTGAGTGACTTTTCCTTTATTAAGAAAAATGTGGATATAAGGGTTCCTTTCCCTTCTGTCCACTGGCCCATGAGAGAGTTTTAAGTTTCTCCCTCTCTCTCTCTCAATAACATATTGCACTTACTTAAGCCTAACCTATGGCCACTATATAGCCAAAACCACAATATTCATTTGCTTTTTTCATGTTTCAGGGGGGGAAAAACTATAAAATGTGAATAGTAGAAGGAGCACAATCAGGATTAGGCATGCTTGGGCGCTATAGGCTGTAGCATGTTTCTTGTTCCTGGATCTACAATTCATAAGAAGGGAAATACAATACTGTGTATTGTAAGCAGGGTGGGTTCTAAAAATTTTTACTACTGGTTCTGTGGGCATGGCTTATTTTGTGGGCGTGGCTTGATGGTCATGTGACAATTATTTAGGATTTAACAGAGGTACTGGTCTACCTGGCTTTTAACTGCTTGCAAGAGCTGTACCGATCTACCCATTTATTTTTTGCAGGCATTGATCTACTCATGTATTTTTGCAGGCACTGGTCTACCCATTTATTTTTTGCAGGCACTGATCTACTCATGTATTTTTGCAGGCACTGGTCTACCCATTTATTTTTGCAGGTACTGGTCTACTCATGTATTTTTGCAGGCACTGGTCTACTCATTTGTTTTCTTTTAACACTGATCAGCTGTAGGGCGGCCCTTTGAAGCTCCGCGGCAAGAGTTTAAACAGTTTTTTTCCCTCTAGCCATCAGCTGGGACTCAGGAGGCAGCTATAGATCGGGGGTGGGGCCAAATAAAGGGTAAGAATAACGTGGGGGGGTGGGGGTTGGGAGGCAGAACCGGTTCAGTGATGTCATATCGTCACCACTACCGGCTCAGGAGAACCAGGTCGAACCGGGAAGAACCCACCACTGATCGTAAGAGAAAAAGTGTTATTGAGCCATTTGGAATATAGCCTTTTTTAAAAATTTCCATGGTCCTGCTTCTAAACCTTTAAGAACTTTAACCAGTGCTTAATTATAAATGACTGATAAGAAGACAAGAATGCAGTCTTCTTCACATATTCATTTGAGAAGTTAGAATAATGAGACTTATCTGAAATTAGAACATGGAAGATAGATAGAAAGACAGACAGACAGACAGACAGAATGACATTCATGCCCTTTCAATGTCCCTTCCATGACTTGGGAGGATGGATGCAGTTTTTAAAACGAAAGGATACAGTTACCACATATGAAGAGGATGATGAAGTAAATACAGACTACCATTCCTGATGAAGATGGGCCTCCATATGCCATAATGCCATCATACATAACAGCATTCCAATCTTCACCTGTTAGAATCTAAAAAATGAATTAGTGAATTAGGACATATCATTAAAAAAAAATGAATAGCTCCTTTCGCATCAGAGGAAAACAAATCAGCAAAACCTTTATATAATTGCATTTTATTTTATAAGATTGATGACACTCTTTATTTCTGAACGCATTATTTCATTCTTCTGCAAACTAAGGCATACTTTTGTTTGAATACCATTAAATACCCTGGAATACTCCAAGAAAAATAACTTTGTTAATGGAGGTAAATATTTCAAATGGTTTATCTCAGATTAATATTGATAGCAGCAGATGAACATCCCACTGAGTTTATGGGGAAGAAAAAATGTTAAATTGGAGTTAGACACTGTAACTCCAAGATTCTAATTAAATTTTTTGGGCATAGCTTCATGAAAAAAACATTTTTTAAAGAAGTATGGACATTTGGGACTATTTCTATGACACTGTATTCCTATCATAATGAATTCCAACAGTATATATATATATATATATATATATATATATATATATATATATTATATATATATATATATTTATATATATATAATATATTATATATATATATATATATATATATATATATATATATATTATATATAATATATATATATATATATATATATATATATATATATATATATATATATATATATATATATATTTTCACTTGCTTGACAAATGGACATATCAACCTAACATTTCTGACATTTATTTAATGCAGTCTTTTCCAAGTCTGCTGCCCTTCAGACATGGAGAGCTTCAATTCACATAATTCCTAAATCTACATTTTGAAATAGCAAAGTAGATAATTATAGAAATTGATCCAAAATAAATCCAACCTAAAATAGGAAACCAACGTAACAAATCTTAAGCCTTTAAAACTCCCTGCATAAATTATCTCAGCAGTTTTTACAGCAAGTCTGGAAGTTGGGTTTATTTTACTAATAATTGTTCCATAATACTAAAGCTATTAAGCCAGGATATTCCACAGGATCTGGCTACAGTCAGAACCTCAAGAAAAATTCCCAAATTACCTTTCCTCATTTTAAAAAAAAGTTATTTGTGAGATTTTGAAATCCTGAAATATTTTGTCATTGTCTTAAGATCACTCAAGATCACTCAAAATCAACCTGGGCTAAGAGACATAGTGTGATAGATTAAATGAACAAGGACCAGGAAAACCTACGTGCAACTACATTCTCTACTATGAAGCTTAGAAGATCCTTTTGGGTCAGTCCCAGTCTCAGTGTACCCTCCCCATAGAGTTACTGTGGTAAAAATGATGGAGGGAATGCTATGTGTGTTGCATGGAAGAAAGCAGATTTATAAAAGGGGGGCTTTGAATAGCTCTGGCTGGTATGCTGATTGTGATATAACCTTGACCAGAATGCTTTGGCAATATTTACACTCTCATCACCATCTGATTAGATTAGTATAATGTGCTCTACATGGATCTACTTTTGAAGACAATCTGGAAACTGCAAACTAATATAAATGCTGAAGCAGGATTGCTGAGGAGGCTATCCTACAGTCCTGTATAGAATAGTACCCTTAGGCGTCTGTGACCAATTCAAATGTTGGTCATTACTTTTAAAACTTTTCATAGTGCAGCACCGAGTTGCAAAAGTCAAGTTGAATCCTGAATTGTGGCTGATTTTAACTACAGTATGGTTTCTTTAAGTAAGTCATCTAATTAAATTAAAGTGTGACTTGCTCCAGTGACTAACAGACTAACAAGACTAACAATTATATATCTGGCTAAATATAATGATGAGGTTTCTAATCCTTTCATTGTGAAGAGCTGAAATGTGAGCATCTCGGTTATCATTACGTCCCAAAGCAATTGCCCTTGGCAAGAAAGCTAATTTTTAAATTGGATTAAAATAATGGCACATTAAATTTGGTTATGTGCTATCAAATTGTTTTCAATTCATAGCAACCATCTAGGTAGATTTTCCAGTCCTAAATTGTTCTTTCAGGTCTCCCAACAGTGCACCCATTGCCATTATAACTGAGTCCCTTAAATAAAACTGTGAAGGTGCTGATTAAACTGAGCATATTAGGAACCTTTATACAATATTTCTATTGTAATAAGTAGCCTTAAAAAAGAGCTCACGATCCTGAATTCTAAAGCATTGGTCCTTCAAGATTGGTTAGGAAAATTAACACAATATTGTTTTCAAATATTCAGTTTAGATTCAGTATGATAACTTTTACTTGTTTTCTCCAATAATTCATAGCATTTTTTCCTGTTATGGTTTGTTTTGTCTGTGGAAGCTGAAGTAATAAGCATGGGGTTTTCCACTGATTTTATCTATGTGGTGACAATCTTTTGAAGGGTTAGGCTAAGAATTACTGGCCTGAAGTCATCTAATGAACTTTGGGATCAAATAAGGTCTGAAACTCCTCAAACCAGGTCCAGTTCCTTATCTATAATACTAAACAGGTTGTCAGTGAAGATACTAATGTACATATATGAATTTAGGGGAGAAAACAAGAAGTGAGTGGACTTATGCTTGTGGAACATTGTAGGCAAAAATGGACAGGCCTAGATTTTAGCAAAGAAATTAAGCAACCTTTTTTTCGTATGAAAAAAAAAGAATGTTTAAGCTAAAGCTCTGGATCATAAATAGGAGTAACTTACCAAGGTACAGACTTAAAATGTACACAATATAAACAATTGTAAAAAGCAATTAACCATTACAGAAGAACTTTGCAATTAATAACTGTTTTGTTAGCTGTATTTGGATGAACAAAGACAACTTAATATTAATGATGTTAACATAAAAGCTATGCTGCATAGAGAGATTGAATACGTGATATGAACAAATGGTACAAAATGATGCAAAAATTACCAAAGATTGACTTTTAATGGGCAAAATGCTATTTAACATAAACAGAAGGAATTATCGTTGTGATAAGTGACTTTTATTTTTATTTTAGGAGACAGGATTACTTAGACAGTGTTGTTGTTCACAGATTTTAAAAAAATGTTTTATAGTGGGTGAATAAAGTTACCTGGAATACAGTTAAAAGGGCTTGTGGGAAATTATCGAAGGTGCTCCGTTTTGTTTGAGTTTCATCAAAATTAAATTTGCCTCCAAACAGCTGCATTCCAAGCAATGAGAAGATTATGATGAAGAGGAAAAGCAGAAGCAACAGTGAAGCAATGGACTTCATTGAGTTTAACAAGGATGCTACCAAGTTGCTCAGGGATGTCCAGTGCCTACAAATTAAAATGTGTGTGTTAACAGAAAAAAAAACCGTAAAAGAACAGTGCATGATGAAATATTACAAAAGAGCAGCGGGTCATACAAGGGTCAGTAAAACTCAGCACCAAGAAAAGTAAGAATAAGTTTCTCTTACCTGGTGACTTTAAAAATACGGAGGAGACGGACACAGCGGAAAACTGAAATTCCAAGAGGGGACATAATTTGCAGCTCTACCAGGATGGTTTCAACAATGCCGCCACAGACCACAAAGCAGTCAAAACGATTAAAAAGGGACACAAAATAAGACTGCAGCCCAAGACTGTACATTTTTACTAACATTTCGCAGGTGAATAAAGCCAGAAGGACTTTGTTTGCAATATCTGGGGGGAAAATATTCAAGAAATTAAATCGATTAATGAGTTTCAGGTTCAGTTTCGTGTCTTACATCTAATATGAGTAATTAATTTTTTCTGTTTCTCCCTCTTTATCCCAAAACCCCAAATTAAGATGAATAACCAATACATGAAATAATAATACAGGCATTTAGACCATTATATTGTATAGTTACATTTTCTTCTTACAATGTATTGAATATTAACTTTCAATATGGACATGATTTTAACAACCAAAGATTTGACATCAATATGTACAGTTCCTATAGTTACAGTCTACTTGGGCAACAACCATCTAAATAGAGCCAAAGGACAGAACTGATCAGGATGGTTCATAAAGAAGAGCTCTACAAGTTAACTGGAACTGCTCCTTGTAAACCAGAATCTGGTCCATGAAAGTATTTCCCCTGGTACAACTCTGACTTAGTAAAAAAAAAAAAAACTGTACTAGACCAAAGAAATCTTTTTGGCACTCATAACGAATGTCAACCACCAGACTACTTGACTAGACTAGACCACTAGACCAGTAGTCACCAAACAACAGCTTTTGATCCAAATCTGCCAGACTGCCTGCTTTTGTATAAATTAAGAATGGGAAGAGTAGGAGATTGCCCATTCTCTGCCAGACCCAAGGCTCAGCAGAGCTCCTAGTCAAAGATATCATTGTGGCAGGGGCATCCTGGATGGCAGCAACAGCCTATCAGTAGTCTCCTTGCTAGCACACCAACATTGTCCAATGGCCATTGCACTCTTTGGCCTGCAGTCTGCCTGCCATGGCCATAGAGGCAGAGATAGGGCACAATTTTTTCCCTTTATGGAAGAAAAGTTTGCCTACTTGTGCATTAGACTATGATTAAATTGATATTAATCTACAATAAAAGTTCAGTGGAATTTGACTAAGTTCAGCTATGGAAACCTACAACCTATATGTAGGTTTTTGTAAGCCCTCCTGTCCCCAACCCAAAAAGACTTCCAAAATGATGATGTTGGAACAAAACAAAAAACAAAAAAACAACAACAACCCAGAATTGCTATGGTCTAATTTCTTAGGATTTTAAGAAGAAAACAGGCTTAATACAAATTATTAATAAAAAGAATACTTCCTATTATCTCTAACTTTTTGGCTCCCCACTACAAAATGATGCAGATCTCTTCATTACTACATTAGTAACACATGTTTATTTAATATTGTTGTTGACTGCTCAGTCAACCAGATGTTGAGACTTGATTTCGCATTTTTGTCCAATTATTATCTTGGTTCATTGCATAGTCAATCAGATGTTTACACTGGGTTTGGCCTATCAAGTCCTTCCCATGGACATGAGATAAGCACATACTGTTGTTTGTTGGTGTTAAAAAGTATTGCCATAGGATTATGCTGCCGTTGTTAAATCTTGGATGTTATGTAACACACGCTTGTTTGTTTGAATTCTACAGTCCCAGAGGAATTTAGCTTCTTTATTTTCTATTACTTTGTTTATTTTGTGATCCCATCAGTTCTTTCTTGCAGATGTTCCAATAATCTATTGTTGTTACCTTGTCATCCTGTTGTTTGTAATAAATCTGTGTGATCTGTGATCTTCTTGCAGCAGCTAACTAGGTGGGCCACTGTTTCTTCAGCTTCTTTGCAGAGATAGCATTTGCTATCTTCTCAATTCTGGTTTTGTATGCATTTGTTCTTAAGCTTGGTCTTAATCAATTAGCACTTCTCTTTCTTCTACTTTGCTGCTCTTAGCCATTGCCAGGTCTTGTAGTTATCTGCTTTTTCTGGTAGTTTTTATATGTATTGGCTATGTACTGTAATACTTTATTTTCTGCTCTTTATTTGGTCTTTCTCATAGTCAAATTTGGTCTCTCTGGAATTCAGTAAGCCTTCATGATGTACTAGTTTCAGTGTATCTTCTTCACTGTCTTTCAGATAGTCTTCCAAAGCCTTTTTTTCTTTTATTATTAGATTTATATCATATATTTTTTTACAACTCATGATTAGGTATATAGTTCTCTCATCCCCTATTTTCCCACAACAACCAACTGTTAGGCTGAGAGAGTTTCTGGCCCAAGGTTACCCAAATAGTTTTCATGTCTAAGGGAGGACTAGAACTTACAGTCTCCCAGTTCCCATCCCAGCAACTCACCCACTACGCACCATTGGCTCATGTCACCTCACTGGTATTTACCATAAATTGAACAACATAGACTAAGATATACAAAAAAGGAAAGTGAAAGTGTTTTTCATTTATTATAATAAGAAACAAGAAAAGTATTTTTGTTTTACCTTGTATTTCTGTTAGCCAGTCAGGCTGATTATAATGCTCAGATGAGATAGTTAATGTGTTTAGGAAGACCAGGACAATGACTAACCAATAAAAAGAAACAGATTTTACAGCAGCTCTGCATCGTCTTCGACTGAAACGGTTCCATCGACGCCAGCGTCGGCTAAAATGCAGAAACATTAAAATACAGAATAAAATTAGACAATGAATTCCGACTTTTAAACATAGTCCCATTATTTTGATGCTATCATGACACCTACTTTCACACCTAGTAGATGATGGAAAAGGAAGGTTTGTAAGTGAGAAGGATCTATAGGTTCTCAATACAGGTCAGGAGTCAGGACTAGGATTTGGCTGGATTTCTGTGCCCATAAGCACTACACCCTTGTGAAGCATACTGGCTGGACCAAAGAATCCTCTACTTTAAGTATTAAAGCAGCAACAGTAGCAGCAATTGAAAGAGTTACCCAAAAGACTGATCTTGGCTGTCTGTATACGGACATGGATGCCAACTACTTCACTTGACTGGTGACCCCAGAGAAAGTACAGTCCATACATGAACATTGACATGCAGACCAGGGACAAACTTTGAGGGAACTGTACATGTCTTCTTGTGGACATGACTGCTTTGATGCCTTGATGGCAAGGCTTTGCTTCTGGCAATATGTTTTAAGTGCCCCCTTTGAATGCCAGGCAGGGGAACAAACATTAAACTCTCTGAGCTTATATTTGCTTAAAGTCAGAACTACGTTGCGAACTGTCTCCAAAAATGGATGAACAGCTAATGCAGATTATAACATTATTGCACCTTAATATGCTGACATGCTTTACCTAATACACAAACTGGCAGTTTCATTCAGGAAATTTCTAAACTGTTTTTAGAGATAACTTACATAAAGCTTATTGAAATAATCCATGAGCAACCGTTGAGCAATGCACATAGGGCAGATTTTGCACTCCTTTATTGGGCCCGCTCCATAAGATGTTTGGAGAAAGGAACATTTTTAAAAATGTTTCCCACATCTTTCCCACATCCTCAACTAGAAATCCTGTCATGTATATGTCTGGGATCCTCCATATGCCACAGTAGGGATGAATTCCACTATCACACAGAGATGTTTTTGGGACAGAAGATACACTGTATCTGAGTGTGTATAAATGTATTGATATTTTTTCTCATAAAAAATATGCAAGCGAGAATGAATTTTAAAGTAGTTTGGTTACATGTATGACCTGATTCATGCTTGGTTGAACTAAGGAAGACATATCCAATTGACACTGTCACATATTCTAAATGTTTTATACAGATTTTATCTGCTTCTCTGTTAACTCTCTATAGAGTTTTTCAATCTATATATGTATTTGTTTTCTAATCTGCTACGTATATATTGAGCTACAAGCAGCCAGTCCAGTCATTGTGAGACCTGGATAGCAGCAGCAATGTTGACCTTCAAGCTTCATATAAATTTCCTTTATTTATAGCATTTTATTTCATTTTTTAATTAAAAATATCAAACTGATTTGTGATAATTATAGCAAATGCAGTACAGCATAGAATAAACACAGGAAAATCAATAATACAACCTTGAATTTAAAAATAATCATTCATGCAGCTGATGAAATCAAGGTAAATCCTATGTTTTGGCAAAAATCTCTGGCAGAAGTCCTCCCACGAGACGCCCACCTTACCTCTATTCTACCCAGTATTTATTACCCAAATGCTGGATAAAACAGAGGTAACCCTATTCCATGCTTATCCCATGCCAACCTTATTGAGGTAACCCTATAGAGGTAACCCTATCCTACACCAATCCCACCTCAGCAAATGTGGTACTGTAATCACGAAGACCTAGGTAGAATTAGATTGAACCTTAGATTTTAGGAGTAACTATTTCCAAAGTACAAACACATTTTTTTTTATTTAAAAAGTTTTAACAATCATTACAACAATTTCCCCCCTCCCACCCCTCTCCCACCCTTCTTTTTGAGAATATTTTGAATACTCCACCGTATTTTTATCCAATATGCCTTAATTTTTTTACATGTCCACCATATATGATAATACGTGGCATCATCACATTCACATCTCCAACACTTAGGTTGTGCACTTGGATACATACAGGCTAGCTTTTTAGGATCCAGATGCCATCTATAAAACATTTTATAAAAATTCTCTCTTAAGTTTTGGGCTTGCGTGAACTTCACATTTCTAACCCATATTTTTTCCCATGTTTCCATCATTATTGGTTCTTCAATATTTTGTGCCCACTTTATCATACAGTACTTAACTAACTCCGTTTCTGAATCTATTTCTACCAATGCATTATACAACCTTTTTATATGCATTTGACTTTGATCTCTAATCTGTTTTACCAAGTTCTCATTTTGCAGAAAACCAATTTTCTGATCTTCTCTCCATCTAGCTTGCAACTGTACATATTGAAACCATGTTCGAATTGTCCTTTCTTCTCTTAGTTGATTCAAAGATTTTAATTGTAGTATACCTCTTTCCTTGTTAAGAAGTTCTTTATATGTAATCACATCTTGCCTTTGCTCTACACTTATATTCTCTATCGTGTGTCTGGGTATTGCCCACAATGGTAACTTCTCGTTTAGTTTATACTTGTACTTTTTCCAGACACGCAATAGAACATTCCTTAATATATGACTTTTAAAAGTCTTGTCCACTTTCTTATCATATAATAAATAAGCATGCCACCCATAAACCAAATCATATCCCTCAATATTCAATATTCTTTCTTCTGTTAAATTCATCCAATCACTCATTGCTGATAGAACAGCTGCCTCATAATAAAGTCTTAAATTAGGCATTTTGAGATCTCCTCTTTCACGTGTATCCTGCATTATTTTTTGTTTTAGCCTTGGTCTCTTCCCTGCCCAAATAAAATTATTAATACCCTTCTGCCATATCTTCAAATTCTCATCTTTTTTAAGTATTGGTATCATTTGAAAAAGAAACAAAAACTTAGGCAAAACATTCATTTTTACTGCTGCTATTCTTCCTAACAAGGATAATTGTAATTTTTTCCAGTTTTCCATCTCTCTCTGTATTTTTTGCCACAACGGATCATAATTATACTTAAATAATTTCGCATTTGATGTCATAATATAGACCCCTACCAAGAGCCTTGGTACTACAGTGGTTTAAAGCACCCTGTTATTAACACAGCTGCCTGCAATTTACTGCTGGTTCGAATCTCTCCAAGGCTCAAGGTTGACTCAGCCTTCCATCCTTTCTAAGGTAGGTTAAATGAGGACCCAGTTTGTGGGGGCAATAAGCTGACTTTGTATAAATATACAAAAGTATGAAGGCTATTGCTTAACGCATTGTAAGCCGCCCTGAGTCTCCGGAGAAGGGCGGCATATAAATCAAATTTTTAAAAAAAAATACTTAACTTTTTTTACAATTTCAAATCCTATTAGTCTTTCTAATTCTTCTTTTTGATTTATAGTCATATTTTTAGTTATTATCTTCGTTTTTCCTGCATTTATTTTAAATCCAGATACTTGTCCATATTGATTAATTATATCCATTAGACCTACAACCGACTGTAATGGTTGGGTTAAAGTAACAACCAAATAGTCTGCGAATGCTCGTAATCTATAGTCATACTGCCTAATCTTAATTCCACTTATTTTGTCCGACCCACGTATCTTACTTAACAAAAATTCCAAAGTCAAAATAAACAATAATGGAGACAAAGGGCATCCTTGTCTTGTTCCTTTTTCTATATTAAAAGTATCTGTTAAACTACCATTAATTATTATTTGCACTGTTTGTTTCTGATATATTGCCTTAATAGATTTTGTGAAATGTTCCCCAAACTGCATCTTTTCTATTATTTTCAATAAAAATTGCCAATTCAATCGATCAAATGCTTTCTCTGCATCAAGAAATATCAGCACCGCAGGGATTTGGTTGTTCTTCCCCAAATACTCCAATAGGTTAACAACTTGCCTTACATTACTCTTCATTTGTCTACCATTTATAAAACCAGTTTGATCATTATGAATCATTTGTTGCATGACTGTCATTAACCTATTTGCTAATATTTTAGCAAAAATCTTGTAATCTGTATTTAAGAGTGATATGGGCCTATAGTTTTTTGGCTGGGTGTGGTCTTGCTCCTCCTTTGGAATCAAAGAAATATAAGCTGTCCTCCAAGATGGGGGTACATCTCCTCCAGATTGAATATTAGTAAATAATTCTTTAAGTGGTCCCACCATTTCTAACTGCAAATGTTTATAATAAGCAGCTGTCAAGCCATCCGTCCCAGGAGCTTTACCCACTTTCAACTGCTTAATTGCAAACATAATCTCCTCAGTGGTTATTGGTTGATTTAAACCCTCCCTTTTGTAATTGTAGGAATATTCTCTTTCTGTAGATATCTATCTATATCTGTACCTTGAATTTTATCACCAGCATACAATCTCGTATAAAATTCTAAAAATGCTTTTTTAATCATATTTTGCTGATAAACCTCTTTACCTTTATATTCTATTTTCTCTATGGTCCGTGACTTTTGTTTTTTGCTTAACAAATATGCTAACCACCTCCCTGGTTTATTAGCATTACAAAAAATATTATGTTTAGCATACTGCAAATTAGTTGCGACCTGATCTGCCATTAACATATTAAATTGCCCTCGCAATAAATTAATTGCCTCTTTTATTTTCTTATCTGCTGGATTCAATATCAAAGCTTGTTCTTTTTTTTCTGATTTCCTCTTCTAAATCCTTCCTTTTTTTCCTGTTTGCGTCTATATTTATTATTCAAATATATCAAAATGCCTCTCATATATGCTTTGCTTGCATCCCAAACCATTTCCATAGGTGTACCCTTATGCATATTTATAATAAAAAATTATTTCATAAATTTTTTACATTCTTTTACATTTTCCTCATATCTAAACAGATTTTCATTTAACCTCCAAGACCTCTTAGATCCCCTTCCATACTCTAATTCCATCCAGACTGGACTATGATCCTTTAAAACTCTTGGACAAAACTTCGTCTTCTTTACTCTGGAAAAGAAATCATTTGTAATTAATATAAAATATATCCTTGAGAAACATTGATGTCTATCAGAAAAAAAGGTAAAGTCTTTCTCTTCGGGGTTTCTCTCTCACCAGATATCTCTCA